ATACTGCTCTGGTCCCACGAATGCCTTCTCAACATGGAGACTGCATGAGGATCTCATAAAGAGGGCTCATGCAACGATCTCTGAGAAGGGAGGCGACCTCCGTTCACAAGATTTGGGGGGATCTTCACAGATGGGAGCTGGCAAGGAGAAAAGCCTTGCAGGGCAGAGACCACAGAATGCCTCAGGCTCTGCCTAGGTTCTCAGAATATGGAGTGATTGTAATTGCTCTGTGCCCTCAATGCTCGGGAGATAAAAGCCCCTTGATACACTGGGTGTGGTCAGACTCGTGGCTCCTCATCCACTATGCTTCTGATGCAGCTGCACCTTGATATGGGTTGGCCGTGTCCCCAGCCAAATCTCATCTTGAATTGTAACACCCACAATTCCACGTTCCAATCTCATCGTGAGAGGAACCCAGTGGGAGGTGATTGAATTATGGAAGCAGGTCTTTCCTGCACTGTTCTAGTGATAGTAAGTGAGTCTCACAAGATCTGATGGTTTTAAAAATGGGAGTTTCCCTGCACAAGCTCTCTTTTCCCTGCCGCCATCCACGTAAGATGTGACTTACTCCTCCTTGCCTTCCACCAGGATTGTGAGGCCTCCTCAGCCACGTGGAACTATAAGTCCATTAAACTCTTTCCCGTATAAATTACCTAGCGTCAGGTATATCTTTATCAACACAGTGAAAATGAACTATTACAATGATAAAGAAGAGCCGTAGAGAGATTATCAGCACCACTCAGCGAAGGCTGATAGCACTGCTTTAATGATACGTACAGGTTTCTGTGCCCAACCTTGCTTTATTTTCTGAAAAGACAAACCTAACAAGAATGTTTATAAGAGTTAAGAAACACACAATCTCACCATCCTAACATTAATTTTGAGTTGTATGTCTCCTCCCATTGGTAGAGGGATTTTTACCTAGTTCTAATTACAGTCATGCATCATGTAATGATGGGAATATATTATGAGAAATGCGTCATTAGGCAATTTTGTCATTGTTTGAACATCATGGAGTAAACTTACACAAAACTAGATGTCTACTACATACACAGGCTTTTTGGTACAGCTTATTGTTCCTAGGCCTCAAACCTGCACAGTGTATTACTATACTGAAAACTGTAGGCCATGATAACACCAGGGAAAATATGGCTCAAACCTGTAATCCCAGCTCTTTGGGAGGCCAACGTGGGAAGATTGCTAGAGCCCAGGAGATTGAAACTGGCCTGGGCAACATATATTAGAAAGACTCCATCTCTACCAAAAATAAAACAATTGGCCAGGTATGGTGGCATCTGCCTGTAGTCCCAGCTACTCAGGAGGCTGAAGTGGGAGGATCACTTGAGCCCAGGAAATCGAGGCTGCAGTGAGCTATGATCACACCACTGCACTCCAGCCTGGGTAACAGAGCGAGGCCCTGGCTCAAAAAGAAAAAAGAAAGGATAAAAAAAGGTACACCTATATGGGGCATTTACCATGAATGTAGCAGTACTGGAAGTTGCTGTGAGTGAGTGGTGAGTAAATGTACCATAGACTTTATAAACACTGTACATTTACGCTACACTAAATTCATGCTTAAAAATGTCTTTCTTCGCCAGGTGCAGTGGCTCATGCCTGTAATCTCAGCACTTTGGGAGGCGGAGGTGGGTGGATCACCTGAGGTCAGGAGTTCAAGACTAGCCTGGCCAACATGGTGGAACCCCGTCTCTATTTTTAAAAAGAAAAATGTCTTTCTTCAACAACAAATTAACCTTACCTTACTATGACTTTTTTACTTTATAAACTTTAAAATTGTTGTAATGTTTTGACTCTTTTGGCTTAAACACAAACATATTAAAACACAAACACATTGTATAGCTATATGCAAACTTAGCTTAAAACACAAACATGTTTTAAGTGTTTGCATAAAACACAGTATGCAAAATACTGTATTTTCTTTTTTTATATTTTTATTCTAGAAGCTTTTTTAAATTTCTAAAAGTTTTGTTTTCTTTTTTCTTTTTTTTTTTTTTTGAGAACAGGGTCTCACTATATTGCCCAGGCAGGTCTTGAACTCCTGGGCTCAAGCTATCCTCCTGCCTCTGCCTCCCTAAGAGCTGGGATTACAGGCTTGAGCCACCATGCTCAGCCTACTAAAAGGTTTTAAAAAAAAACTCTTTAAAAATTAAAAACAAAGACATAAATGCACACATTAGCCTGGAGCTTCACAGGGTCACGATCATCAAGACGTCACTAGGCGACAGGAATTTTTCAGTTCCATTATCATCTTATGGGACAACTGTGGTATATGTGGTCCAATGTCGTATCACGTAACTGTAACTAGAGACATTTGCTCACTTACTCCCAGCTGTAGGCAAACAAGAAACTGCTGTGTGGCCGCAGGAAGCCTATCAAATGTTTCTTTAATGCTTTGTGCAACAGAGCTCTCCTGCCCGCTATGTCTAACAGGTCACAAATATTCACTAACAAAATATAGTCAAACCTTTAGGAGTTCACAATCTAGTGAGAACCTAGGCATCATAGTGCACCGCTGTTTTTCCAAATCACCATTGCCAATCTGTTCACCCTTTCCTTCAATCTAGTCAAAGCAGTAAGGACAGAAGAGAAGATGTGAATCATCTCAGAGTCACAGCCGTCTGGAAATCCCTGCAATCCCTTCCTTCCTGTCCCTCAGATTACTGTAAGGACTTCAAGGTTCACTCCAACCCTTACAGCCACCTGAAAACATTTTTTCTGATACGAGAGCCTCTACCCTCTCTCAAAGGAAAGTAAATCCTTTCCTTAGTCAAGATCTCCTTTTTCCACATTCCAGTCTTTCCCTGGAATGCCTCCTCTACCCTTCCTCTCTTCCTCCTTTCCCATTATACTTCTCACTGATCCTCGGGAAAACAGCTTTAAAATCTCCCCTCTGGAATGGGGCCCAGTCCACAGAGCACCCATGTTCGGTATAAGTCAGATGTTAAACTCAATTACCTACAAAGGCCAGGAAGAACAGTGTTATTCTGACTTTGTTTGCACATTAAGTTCATGGAACATTCTCTCCTTTCACAAAGAAACATACTTTTTTTTCTTGAAATATACAGCCTTTAGTTAACCTTTTGTTTGCACAGTTTTGAAAGACAGGGATGCAAGAACTATTTCTTTTTCCTCCCAATTCTGCTCTGTCAGTAATTGACAGAGGACCTTCAGAGTAACAACATATACCCTGGAAGAAGGCTACTCAGCAACCACTGTTTGCCAAGTGGAACACTTGTTGCTGTGTTGCTTCTGACCTTTTAGGAGACAAAAATCCAGATATTTTTATGAAAAAATCATGTTTTCAAAATGCTGACAGCAAATTCAAAAGAATTTAAAATGCTCCAAAGTCTAAAGCAAACAAGTTCTCAGAATGCAGGGGCACTGCCAATGTACAGCTTCTGGCACCATAAACTTGAATATTTTATTATATTTGCTTACTTTACAATAGACAATTATATAATTATGCCTTTGACAGACATCAATAATCTTTTTCTGTATTCATGTTTCATATTTATGGAGTACTGCATTTTCTAGCTTATTTCCACAACACATTGTTAACAGTATCTTAAGCCAAAGTACTTTTCTTTCCCAATTACTCTCTTTCCCCCTACAAAGGGAGTTAAAACAGAGCTGTTAAAGCTTTAAGCCACTGGGTGCGGTGGCGCGTGCCTGTAGTCCCAGCTACTCAGGAGGCTGAGGTGGGAGGATCGTTTAAGCCCAGGAGTTCTGGTCTGTAGTGCCCTATGCCAAGCGGGTGTCCGCACTAAGTTCGGCTTCAGTATGGTGACCTCCCAGGAGCAGGGAAACACCAGGTTGCCTAAGGAACCTGGTGTTCTGGCCCAGGTTGGAAACGGAGCAGGTCAAAACTCCGGTGCTGATCAGTCGTGAGATTGTGCCTGTGAATAGCCACTGCACTCCAGCCTGGGCAACATAGCCAGACCCCGTCTCAAAAAAAAAAAAAAAAAAACTTCAAGCCAAATCAGAAATTAAATTACATTCACTTTAGATGGTTTTCTGGAGTGTCCAGAAATTTTACCAGTAATTTTACTGCAAGTCCCGGTTCAGTGAAGAACTGGGTAAATATGATTAGCATGCACACACAAACACATCACTATGCTGAAAACGCAAATCACAGTATGTGAGTCACTACACTCAACACTTCCGTGCCCCTGCCTTAAGCCTGCCAGGCCCATCCAGAGGATTTTTCTCAATCTCTGAAGTCCAGTCATTTACACCTTCCACCTTCCCCCATCAGAATTTACCCTATTTTGTTTGTTTGGTTGGTTTAGGTTTTGTTTTTCCAAGACAGAGGCTTGCTCTGTCTCCCAGGCTGGAGTGCAGTGGCGAAATATTGGCTCACTACAACCTCCACCTCCCAGATTCAAGAGATTCTCCTGCCTCAGCCTCTCAAGTAGCTGGGACTGCAGGCACGAGCCACCACACCCGGCTAGGTTTTCTGTTTGTTTGTTTGTTTTTGTTTTTGTTTTTTTTGGTATTCTTAGTGCCTGGCCACTACCCTACGTTTTATTATAATTGCATATAAATATGCCTTCCCTTTAAGAGCAGGGAGTGTCTCTCCATTGCATGGCCTGGCACAGTGTCCAGCACACAGTAGACAAAGCAAGAGTTATTGTGTGAACCAGCATCATCATGCAAACAACAGCTACCATTTCCAGAGCACCTACCATGAGCTATTTTACCTACATTTTCCTGCAGGCTTTCCCAGACCAGACTACCCGATCCAAAGCAGCCCCCCCAATCACCCTCTGGGCACATAACCCTATTTTAGTTCTCTGAATAGGACATATTTTGGTTTTTGTGCTTATTGTCTGTCATCGGTTTCCCCTCACAAGAAGGAAAACTCCAAGAGAACAGGCATCTTATCTGCCTTGTGCTTGGCTCATAGGAAAGAAATGAATCTAAGCCTCCCACTTCCCTCCGTAACAGAGTTGTCTTGCACACAGTAGGTCTCATAAGTATGTTTTAAATTTTATATTTAGATTTCAAAATAATTGTGTTGAGTATTTTATGGTTCATAAAAAACGGAAAGGGGAGCAGAATAAAAAATAAATAAAAGTTTGGTTACATTACCCTAGCACTGACATTGGTACGAGAATTTTTGCTGCAATAAGAAAGCCACTTCCTCTGACATAAGGTCACCCACACTTCCTCTTAGTTTGTGTGGCTAGACTGCCACATTCTCTTAGCTCATCATGGCTGGGCTGGCTGGGGAGGTCAGGACTCCAGACGCTCACACTAAAAGAGGGGTGGGAGTCCAGGAGTCACTCCACTCCTCTGCAGGGAGTTGACCGCGAGTGGGTGCGCAGGAAGGTGTGCCCGGATCCGTGAAGCACCTAGGGCCGCTGTACGAAGACGCCGCAGCGTGAGCGCCCGGGCGACTCTCTCGGTTGAGGCTCTCCTTCCTGCTGGGTTGCTCTTCCTTCTACCCCGAAGCGCGCACGCCCTACAGAGTCAAACCTGGCGCACCCTCAAGCCTCCAGGGGGCGACGTGACCGAGCCCCGCATCACGTGTGCAGGGACGGCCTATAGAGCCCGAAGGACGAAGGCCCGGCTGCGCCACGGACAAGAGCCGCATTTGTCCAGCTCTTGCTCCGCCCTGGCCTGGCCCCGCGTCCGCCCTCGCGCCCGCCCCGCCCCAGAGGTCGGCCTCCCACGGCCCCGCCCCTGTCCCGCCCCAGTCCCCGCCCCTCGCGCCTCCGCTTATTCCTCCGTGCGCTGGGAAGCGGCTCTTTCTACTCGGTTGCTTGATTTTCGAGCGGCGCCCCCTCATCACCGCCGCCGCCATGCCTGGAGGTCTGCTTCTCGGGGACGTGGCTCCCAACTTTGAGGCCAATACCACCGTCGGCCCCATCCGTTTCCACGACTTTCTGGGAGACTCGTAAGTGGCCACCGCATAGCCCTGCTCTGGCCTCGATTGCGCCCGCACTGGGAGATGCCTTCCCTATTTCTTCTCCCTTCCGTCCTTCCCGCTGCTCAGCCCCCTGCGCCGCTCGCCCCCTCCTCCGCACCGGTTCTGGCGCGCGCCAGGCCATGTGGCCCTTGCTCAGCGTCGGCCGCGCTGCTAGGGGCTGGCATCCACCACTTCGGCCTGCCCTGCGCGGGCTACTAGATCCCTCCTGGTCTCCCTGTCTCTGGCGTGGCTGGGCGAGGCCACGCCAAGGTGGGGGGTGGGGAGGACAAAATTGGGTTCTGCAGGTCTTAGAAACTCACTGCTCAGGGGAAGGTTTGCTGTCCGTTTAACTCGGATTAGTAAACTGTGCCAAGTAGTCTGGCGGAGGGCGAAGGGGCGGGGCGGCATTGGGAGTATTCCCGGGAATACTGCCCAGGGTCACACCACCTTCCCTCCCACCCTCCGTTCTGGAATTTGCTCCCTAGGGAGGATGGGTGTCTAAAGCCAAAGGTGGAGGACACAGCTGCTGGCTCTAGTTGGCAGTATTTGCAGGCTTCTGGGCACAAAATGTAAAATTTAAAACTACTAACTGCCAAGTAAGTGGCCGAAAGACTTTTTGTCCATAGCCTCCTCCAGTGGCCAAGATATGATCCGATAACAGCTTTGGGAAGAGCCAAGAACACTCTGTGTGTAGGTGTGCCTTCAGAGGTTCCAGAACTTGCAACACTTGGAGGGAAGGACTTTCTGAAGCTGATCAGCTGCAGTGAGCCATTCTCGCCAGTGATGGCTGTTCCAGGTTCCAGGACACGTGTACTCCCCCACTTTGAGACTCTTTTGTTTCCCAGTGGTGTGCCCCTCACTGTCCCCTCTACTTGCTGCCTTGCTTCTAGCACATGATAGCCAAATTGATGACCTGTGATCTGACTTGGCTGTTTTACCACTTTGAATAGGAGTAGTTAATCGGTGTTGCCCTTTTTTTCTTTCTTTTTTTAAACAGTTCCTGAATCAGCAAACTGGAAATTGCTTAGTTTTCATCAGAAGCACTCCAGGCATGTCTAGTTATATTATGGTTCTGGGGTTACAGTGGTCCCACTACACTGTGGGGCTCCGAGGCTTGACAATGACAATTCTTCCCCAGTTTATGTCCTTGTTATATACAGTATCCAGGGAGATAAAGAGAGAGGCTTATGAAATTAATCAATGATTGGACAGGGCTGGGCAGAGAACCAGGGAGAGATTCTTACCCAGCCCCTTACAACCTCTTAAGTCCCTTTTCTAGCCACTGAATAGGGAAAAATTAAGCTTTCTGAAAGATGGGATTAGGCTTAAAAAAATATTCAAACCTTGAATATGGAAAAATACTTTAGAAATACAGCTTATGGCCAGTCTCATACTAGGTAATATTTCTCCAGCAATCCTTGGGATTTTTAGAGTTGTGTTTCTTCCTGCAGCCCTCAACGCTATGAAACATAAAATATTTCTAGAACTCTTAGCATGTATAGATTAAATATTAGCATAAAACATTTACTGTGCCAACAGTTATAAATGCTGTCACTTTTTAAACTAACCATACTTTTTTGGGTTTTTGTTAATGTTTATTGGCCTCTATAGCCATCTAGATTTGATCAAAAGTGGTACCTATCAGGGAGCCATAGTTAGGAACACGACAAAAATATCTGCATTTATTAACTAATATATACGTCTGCCTAGGATCAGGCACAGTATTCCCGACCTTACCAGGAAAGAAGTTTGTGTTTTTTGTTTTGTTTTGTTTTGTTTTTTTGGGACGGAGTTTCACTCTTGTTACCCAGGCTGGAGTGCAATGGCGCGATCTCAGCTCACCGCAACCTCCGCCTCCTGGGTTCAGGCAATTCTCCTGCCTCAGCCTCCTGAGTAGCTGGGATTACAGGCACGCGCCACCATGCCCAGCTAATTTTTTGTATCTTTAGTAGAGACGGGGTTTCACCATGTTGACCAGGATGGTCTCGATCTCCTGACCTCGTGATCTACCCGCCTCGGCCTCCGAAAGTGCTGGGATTACAGGCTTGAGCCACCGCGCCCGGCCAAGTTTGTGTATTTTATATGTTCATGACACATGGATTTTCGCCTGATTTTTCCAAATTCTGTTCTGTATATGATCCCAAGCCAGACTGTCAATTTTTGGTCCAGGTATTTTTGAGGAGAAAAAATTAAAATGTATTTCTCTACCTTACCTCTGATCATTGTGTTATACCGGACCAAGCATAGAAAGTCAACACGAAGACAAAAGTATGCCAAATTGCAGGGTTTATTGCCGGCGACCACGGAGGACTCACATCTCTCCAACCTGTGGCTGAGAAAGAAGGGTGACAAGACCTTTTGATACCCATAAAACCACCTTGGGAGTGGGGGTGAGGGGCTTCCGGAATGGACATTCCGAGGGCCAGGGGACTATTTGACATTCTGATTGTTACTTAAGTGGTTCACAAAAGCTAAGATTAGCATTCATCTACACATTGTCTGGGTAGGGTGGGGATCACAGTCCTTAATTACTTATTCACATTTGGGTTATAGACAGCAGTTTCAACAGAAAGCTGAGGTGTGGTTGAGGTATGCAGTTTTATGGGGCTTTTTACCATGTCACAATTGGAAACAACTAGAGGTTGGGTGCTGCACTGGGTGAGTTTATTGAGCTTTATCACTGTTTCTGTAGGTGGTAGAAGCAGCTTCTTAGCACTTCTTCACTAAACAAAATATGTGTTTTCCATGGGTATTCTGGGGCTTAGTAAGTGGGGACCATTTTCTTGAAGGAGGAAACCTTTTGTCTTGAAAATGAATAAGAAAGGAAATGGGAGAATGTCACTGAATTCCTCCTAAGTGCAGCAGTAGGAAGACTTAGAGGGGAAGGAAGTCCAGGGTAAGATATTCTTGGAGTTTATCCTATGTAGCCATTCGGAAAAGCTTCTGAGGGAGGGAAGGACAGTAAACTGGCTTAAAACCAGTTCCTTTCTCATGATTCAGCAGAACAGTCTCTATTGACTCAATGGAAAAAGAACTCCTAACTTTTCTAATTCATCCTCCCTTTAACAATACAGGAGGAAATGCCCTGTTCCATTTCTTCTCAACTTCTGGAGACCTGTTAAGTCTCATCTAACCATTAAATAGATCGTTTTCCATAGAATCTTAAGGCCTGATTTTACTCATAGGGATATTACTTATTTCAAAAGATATACTCTATCTTCTTCTTTTTGAGCTTCATAATAAAATGAACATAGTGTACACCTCCACAGTCTTACAAAAAATATATCAACTTTCTTCCCAGTCTTGTCACAGGGCCCTCCATCCTTTTTGTAAGAAGGTCTTTTCCTTCCTGAAACCTTGGGGGTTGAGTGGCAGCTGTAGGTGGAAGGAGGTGCCCTTGCCTTTGCTTGTTCTCTGTGTTCAGAGAAACTTTGAAAAGGTCAGCTTGGCATCTAGGCTATTTAGTTATTTACTAGTTTAGGATTCTGCCTAAATCATCTGGTTTAGGATGGTTTAAGTTGATGGGGATGCAGATAACTGAGTTAAATTTTCCTTTTCAGTTGAAAACTCCAGCTTTCCTGGTGATATCTTGAAACGTGTTCACAATCTATAAAATCTTAGACAATGATGACTTAGATGTTAGTATTTACCTGAGAATTTGCCGCTGTAGAAATCTACATTGTAGGCTATTAGTCTTCTACCTGCTTGGTCCAAAGAGAAGAAAAAGAAACTGCAAATGAAGAGATACGTAAAACTGTTAAGATTCTATTGTTTTGTCAGGGTGTAAATATTGGGTATCCTGTTTGGCAGGTTAGATTAGTAAAGTGGTTTTACAAAAGACTTTATATCCACTTGCTTCAAAGAAACCAAATGTCAACGTTTTACAATAAATAGAGGATAGAAACCTATTTATTTCAGATTACATAATCTGTTTATTATTGCAGTCAGGCATTTGTTTGGGTATCCCAGGATGTTCAGGGCATTTTGGGACATCCATTATTGGAGCTGAATATCAGGGTCTATGCTAGGAAAACAAATATAGAAAAGGATAAGAAATAATTAAGCTTTTTCAGTAAGCTGCTTGGCTTGAATAGCACAGATTTTATTAGCCAAAAAGGAGTCAGGGTGGCACCACAATTATTAAAGGAGGTAACACCTTAAAAGTAGTCTTTTTAAATATGTGTCATCTTGAATTTTAAATCTTTGATTGAATTGGGCTATAAGCATAGGCTTCTCTGGAGGTAAGTAGATTGAAAAGCATTACTCAACAGAAAAGTTTAAAAGTAAATGTCGTCATAAGCATTCATTGAAAAAAAGAAAGCCTGTTTTTGATCCAAAAGTGATGACTTCATTCTATGCGATGTTGGCGATAACACTTCATTCAATTGCGACCTTGTTTTTTTCTTCCTTTCAGATGGGGCATTCTCTTCTCCCACCCTCGGGACTTTACCCCAGTGTGTACCACAGAGCTTGGCAGAGCTGCAAAGTTGGCACCAGAATTTGCCAAGAGGAATGTTAAATTAATTGCCCTTTCAATAGACAGTGTCGAGGACCATCTTGCCTGGAGCAAGGTATAGTATCAATTGGCGTGTGCTTCAAGCCTGAAACTACAGATCAAGTTATAAATTACAGAGTACTTGGTTTTTGAGGTTAAGATACAAGTAAGTTTCAGGTTCAAAGTTCACTGATTATTTGAAAATTTCAGTTGAACCGCACAGTGTCACATTGCTAAATCCATTGGTCAGCCAGTTCTCAGCCCTCATCGTGGCCTACCAGCAGCATTCAACCCAGGTGATCATGTGTCCCCTGAAACTTTTTCCTTTTTTGGCTTCCAGGACACCACATCCTAGCTGTTCCTGTTCACTAATTCTTCATCTCCCAACTCCCAATGTATCCCAATGTATGCTGAAGTTACCATGAACCTTTTTTTAGACCTCCTCTCTTTTCTGTCTATACTCTTTCTCTTGGTGAGCTCATCCACTCACATCTTTAAGTACCATCTATATGCTGTGATTCTCAAATTTTCATCTGTAGGCCAGACTTGCAGTATAGCCACTGCCTACTCAGCATCTCTCTAGGGATGTCCAGTCATCTCAAACCTAGCATGTCTAACTAGGCCTCATTCTTAAATCCAGAGTTTTACTCATCTCAGCTAATAGCAACTACATTTTTATAGTTGTTCACGCCCCAAATCCAGGAGCCATTCTTAATTCTTCATGTTTTTTCACATTATACATCTGATTTATCCTCAAACTTGTCAGCTCACCCTTCAAAATGTCCTGTATCATATATGGAAGACTCCCCAGGGATCTGTGTGACTTACCTTCACCTCTTTTGGGTCTCAACTCACAGGACATTTCATCAATGCCTTTCCTGTCCTCATTATATAAAATTGTAACTCCTTTTCACATTCACTGTCCCCTTCTCCTCAGCACGTGTCACCATCTCAAATACTCTGCATATTATTTAGTGTTTCTCCCCAGTAGAGTGTTGACTCAGCAGGAACAGAGACTTCTATTTTGTGCACTGCTGGAACAATGCTCACTACTCAGTACACCTCAGGTGATCGGTCAATATTTGTTGAATGAATTAATTGAAGGAATTATCTGCTTTTAGCAAAAGAATTTACCTAAAATTGGGTGGTCTAATTTTACCTTGAAAACATGTTAAGGACTTGCTACAATGTATTCTTAAGTAACAATGATAACTACTTATCGAGGGATGCTTACTGTTTACTAATCACTATGTCAAGCACATGCAATTGAATAAAAGATACATTGAAGTGTAAGTAAGGGAAAATGGCTTTGGTCCATGGTTTCAGCCCAAGTACTATACTCTACTGTTAATCCTGGCAATCATTGGGATGAAGAGTGTTCATTTATTCGTCTTTTAAAATTAAAATTGCTTAAAGACAATTACTGTGATATGGTCCCCTTTTCTGTTGACTGGATGAAACTCAGGATGTGTTGGGTTTGGATTCCCCTAACCCTTTTACTTATGGTTTCAGGATATCAATGCTTACAATGGTGAAGAGCCCACAGAAAAACTACCTTTTCCCATCATTGATGATAAGAATCGGGACCTTGCCATCCTGTTGGGCATGCTGGATCCAGCAGAGAAGGATGAAAAGGGCATGCCTGTGACAGCTCGTGTGGTAGGTCATACAAATTCATTTTGTAGTTAGCATAACTGATCAGACTGTATATTCTATGTACGTGCTTATACCAGCTGGAGGAGATAGGGAAATAGCTACAATTATGAAATAACTGTATATTGTTGAAAATGTCACTGATTATCTGTAATGCTGATGCGAAGTGGCTGAAGTTTTCAGCTAAATTTTTCAACTTAATTCATAGCTCATGGAAATCTACAAAAAAATAAGTTGTTTATACCAAAATGTCCTCCAGAATTGAGAAACCTTTTTATAGTTGTCCTGACCTCCCTGTCTTAAAAGTGATGGGCCACATCCTTCTTCATAAGGCAGCTGTTTTAAAATTTTTATTTGTTCTGTCCTCTGCCCACTAGAGAACAAACCCAATCCCTCATCTGAATAAATGTACATATTCAAGGAACAATATCAACTCCCATTAGTATTATTTTTATGATAGTCATCCCCAACTGACCCAGCCTTTCCTGGATTAAATTTGCATATCAGCTTTCCTTACTGGATAGCCAGAACCAAGTAGAATTCTCTTCTGAATTTAGGAAAATAATAGGGAGAAGAGAATTACCTGTATTCCAATCATCCACTTTAGCAGATTGGTGTATCCTTCCAGGTTTTTGTCTTGCTTTTATACCCCTGAACAGTATTAATGACTCAGAGCTTTCTAAGTGGCTTTAATATCAAAAACATTCAAAGAACTCCTCCTATTTATGCCTTTCTGTGCTTTGCAGGTATTTGTTTTTGGTCCTGATAAGAAGCTGAAGCTGTCTATCCTCTACCCAGCTACCACTGGCAGGAACTTTGATGAGATTCTCAGAGTAGTCATCTCTCTCCAGCTGACAGCAGAAAAGAGAGTTGCCACCCCAGTTGATTGGAAGGTAAAGATACTTAAAAAAGCATTTTCTCAATTTGCCTGGAAGGCCTGAAGGGCCAGTCTCTAAAGGCCAACTACCAGGTCTGTGTTTCCTGGGGCTCTGTTTATGACACGCAGGTACACTGGGAGGATTTTTACTCATGGCTGAGTTTAAGGTTTGCTGGTAGGCCCTTTTCAAGGTCTTTGTATCACCTTTTGTATACAACACAAACTTCCTATATATTGCATGCCAACTTTTAGATAATTTGGAAAAATTATTGGTCAGAATGATTGCTTTTCCTAATGGGAGATTTTTTAAAAAAAAAGAAGAAGAAGAAGCTTTTATCTAACCCTTCCCTGGTGGCAAAATATCACACAATCTTGATCGGCCATTTCTGTTAAGTTATGTATTAATGTCATTAAGTATTTCATTTCTTTTAAGCTTCATGCTTTTAAATCTGTGCTAGAATTCTCCAAAATTTGTTCATAAACTTTTTAATCTTTAGGACATGGATAACACCATATCACAAGATTATCTTAACATTGCTACATTTTTTAAATAATGCTAACCTGAATACCAGGTTTTATTTTGTTATTTTTTGCTAACAAACAAATCACTTAAATTCTGTATCCACTAGTTAATGTATTATTACTTATATACTTACTGAGCCCAGATAGCAGTGAACAATAGAAAGTCTTTCCCCTCATAGAACTTCCATTCCAGTGAGTGGAGACAAACGGTAAACAAATTTATTAAGTGCTACGGGAGAATCAGACACAGATGGTGAGAATAACAGCACAGGATGGGATGGGAGTGTGACTGTTGAGGAATGCCTGTCTGTGAAGGGACCTTGGGGAAGAAAGACATGGAGAAGATGTATATTTGTGAGGGACAAGCCCTGCAGGCAGAAGGAGTAGTTAGTGCAAGAAGCTGGGCCTGCAAGTGAGCCGGGCATGTTGGAGGAATACAAAGAAAGCAGCATGCCTGGAGAAGAAGCTGCTTAAGGTGGGGTGAGGGACTAGAGACGAGAGGAGGCAGGATTCTGTCACACAGGGCCTATAATAGGCCATGATACTCCCTTAGAATAAAATTTAAAATGTGGTGACTGGCTGATACTGGGTTTAAAACAGTGCTGTTTCTTGTTAAGATAAGGGAACTACGTTTCCTCCAAAAAAACACCAAAGATCAACTTGGAAAACAAAATCCTCAGAGAGGAGAGAATAAAGAACACTTGATCAGTCTCATTAGTGCCTGTAGCTACTTTTCTGAAGTTAATTCTTGAAGGTCTTGAAGCTTCACTGAGATTGAATTTCACCATTCTCAAATGTCTTTCAATAGGATGGGGATAGTGTGATGGTCCTTCCAACCATCCCTGAAGAAGAAGCCAAAAAACTTTTCCCAAAAGGAGTCTTCACCAAAGAGCTCCCATCTGGCAAGAAATACCTCCGCTACACACCCCAGCCTTAACACTCTTGGAGAAGTTGGTGCTGTGAGCCAGAGGATGTCAGCTGCCAGTAATGTTTTCCTGCAGCACTTCCATGAAAACATCCTGGTGTCATCACAGCCCGGGTTTTTAGGTTGCTATTCTATTGGTTTATTAAATGAAAATGGCACTGAAAGTTTCTTGGGATTCTTTACTCTCTGCCTTCACCAGCACTAAATTCTGTTCATACATCAGCTCTCTCTTGGTTATCTTTGAAATACGCTCTGTATTTAAAACTCAAATCTTGTTGGATCTCTGCGGGGCTTGTGATCAGTGAGGTCATATTGGTTGATGGTTGAGAAAACTTGCTTCACTCAATCAGAGAATGACTACCAATTTTTTTTAACTGTCCCTGTCACATCCTCTCATTTGTTACCCATTTTGAAGAGCAGCAGAACTTGAGTTTCAACATCCTCTGTAAACATACAAGTACGTAACCCAGATAGTCTTCAGTATCTGTTTTGATCACAGCAGGGTGAAAAAAGCTTTTTAATTCTGTACCTTTCCAGCAGATAACTTAAGAGCAGGGGAAGAGACCTTTAAATATTTTCCTCTAAAAGAAATTGTGATCAGTTTCTATCAAAATGGGGAGACTGCAGAAAAGCCTTCCCTTGGCTTCCAAGGAGGTGTAGCAGGTGTGAGCAATGCTAGTGCCATGTGCCTTTCACACAGGGTTTGCATTTACCAGTCCGCTTTCTGATGATGTGTATGTGAAAGAGTACACCATGTGAAGAGGAGAAAATGATTGAAAATGTTTATTATAGAACTCTTCTTGCAGTGAGTTGCTATTTTCTGGATTTTACTTTTTAGGGAACAACAAATAAAATCCTTTGTTAAAACTGGGTTGGAGAATTCTGTTGTCACATTTTGAAGTACCAGCTTAGATTCATGTCCTGAAGGGCAGAGGCTTCCCTCTTCCTAGGATTGGCATGAGTACATTTTTCTAAAGACAGATATATAAGAGTTCATGTCATGAAAATGGAGGAGCAGCTGAAGAGCATGTGATGTCACCATGTATCTTGGTCCACTTTGCTCCTTCATGTTACTTGCTTGGCTCCTAGAGTCCCATGATGTGATCCCTGATAGAAGGAGCTGTCCTCACCTAATGCCTTAATGGGATTGCTGGGTGTAGGGATGTGAAACTCAAAAATAATGATACTTCAGTGCTTTTTGCTGCTCTGAATTAATACTCTCTGCCTTTGATTATACTCTACTAAGAAGTGCTAAGTTTAGAAAAGCGTGTCCCATTTGTGATCTCTTAGTCTGCTTGGGCTGCTATAGCAAAAATACTGTAGACTGGGTGGCTTTAACAACAAACATCTCACAGTTCTGGAGACTAGATGTCCAAGATCAAGGCACTGGTGAATCCTGTCAAGGACCTGATTCCTGGCTTGTGTCAGGTGCCTTCTTGTATCCTCACATGACCAAGAGAGGGATCCTCTCATGTCTCTTATATGGTCACTAATACCATTCAAAGTCTCCACCCTCATGACCTATTACCTCCCAAAGGCCCTACATCCAAATACCATCACACTGGGGATTAGGCTTTAACATAAGAAGGTTGGGAGACACATTCAGTCCATAATACCAGGTATAGTCCTTTGCATGAAATCCCTGTTTTTATTGAGTAGAATAATGTAAAACAAGCCCTAATGCCATATGTGAAGTAATTAAGCCTTCAGTTTCCTTGATTTCTCCACACGTAAAATTTGAGTAACACTAAGGTCAAGAATGTAGGTAGGAAATTCCAGTTATTCTGGAATGCTGGTTTGAAAGAGGCAAGAGGGCTAGCTAGCTTCCTGCTCTCATTCTTTCCCAATTCCACATATTTTGCCCTGAGCTAATACAGCTGAACATGGTGGGCATACATCTGTAGTTCCAGCTCCTTGGGAGGCTGAGAGCAGGAGGATTGCTGGAGCACAGGAGTTCAAGTCTACCCTGGGCAACATAGATGCAGTCTCTTAAATAAGAACAAATGCTGTCTGTCCTCTTACAGCAGATATGACTGTCCCCGGCTCCTGTTGTTTCCCTAGCTATCAGGATCCTCACTGCTCTCTTCACTTTGATATTTGCCTTCTTTTGTTCTTGTCTTTCTCATGGAGAGTCTGGCTTCACCTTTTTATGGTGATAGTTCAAAGTTTAAGTCTCCAACATTAGTTACTCAGATTTGAATCCTTTTTACAGATGGATGGAACATTTGCTCTTTAATTTGCAAATTCTGAATTGGATTCGTCAACTTTTTCTCCAACCTCAAACCTCTCGTCCCCCTTTTATTCAGCCTTGTGTCTTTAGCTGTATATACTATTCTACCTGTATAGATAATGTCAGTATAAAAATGCTGAAAGAGCTCAAAGAAAATGGGTCACGTACCCTCAAACTGAATTCTGGTTCTGTCACTAAACAGCCATGAGACCTTGTACAAGTATTCATTTCCAAACATAGAATGAATTTGCATTTCCAGGGTAGAAGTGATCCTAAGTACATTTTGGAATACAGTCATATGATGCTTAACGACAGGGATGTGTTCTAAGAAAAGCACCATTAGCCAATTTCTTCATTGTGTGAACATCATAGAGTATATTATACAAACCTAGGAGGTATATATTTTTATTTTCTATATATTTTATTATTTTAAATGTCCCAGCATCATTGCTAAATATCAGTCATTTCCCGTACTTGATCTGCTAGGCCAACATCAAGTCCAATATATTAGGTTTCTATAAACGCTCCATGAAAGACAGGGGACCGCTATCATGGGATCCAACAGTGTCTGAAACACTGTTATGTGACACATGACTATAACACTATTAGGCAGGGAGAATGGGTCCCTTATTGAGAATTGCTGCCCTCAATTTTCATAGAGAAGAATAAATTTCATTATGTATCCAATGGTTTATTTATAGAAAGTGAATTAATATATGGCTACTGCAGCTATGAAAGAAATACAACTGGGCCGGGCGCGGTGGCTCACGCCTATAATCCCAGCACTTTGGGAGGCCGAGGCGGGTGGATCACGAGGTCAAGAGATCAATACCATCTTGGTCAACAAGGTGAAACCCCATCTCTACTAAAAATACAAAAATTAGCTGGGCATGGTGGCACGTGCCTGTAGTCCCAGCTACTCAGGGAGGCTGCTTGAACCCAGGAGGCGGAGGTTGCAGTGAGCTGAGATCGCGCCATTGCACTCCAGTCTGGGTAACAAGAGCAAAACTCCGTCTCAAAAAAAAGAAAAGAAATACAACTTAAGAGCAAGTCTACATGACCTCAGAATTAAGAAATGCTTTGGCCAGTCTTCTAAGGTGACCAAAGTGATAGACTTGTGACTCTGTGGTCTTCTTGTCAAAAGTCTGATCTCACCCCCAACCTCCACCCAAAGGATAGGGATCTGCAGTGAGAAGCTCAGCAAAGGGCTGAGAAGCCAGAAAGGCTGTGCCTAAGTGGCCAAGTCAGGTTGCTGATTATTGGGTGCAGTGAACTGGTGTAGAGATTTACTCCCTCAAACACCCATTTGACCCTACCTCTTTGAAACAAATGCAAGTTGAAATGCTGACAACTTTGATTCTAGCTGAAAGGGCATAGCATTAACTGGTTAAAAGGCCATTGCTACCCTTTAGTCATTCAGAAATGGCCATGTAATTCACTTCTTGCTGATGAGACAGAAAGAGAGGATGATTGGAGGTTTCTAGAATTGTTTCTCATTCTGGAGAGCAATTGTAAGCATTTGTTTGCTCCCATTGGATATGAACAAGAAAACATGAGGCCCTAATTGCCGCTGGTAGCTGTCTTACAACCTGGGAGTAGTGAATCAGCCATAGAAGGAGACTGGAAAGGTGAACAGCAGAGTGCAGAGACAGAAAACTTACTGATTTTCACTGAGTCTACCAAACACAAACATCCTGCCTCTCAACTTGCATTGCATAAAATTAAAAATTTCTTCAGTATTTAAGTCAGAGTTGGGTTTTCTGGTACCTACAGCCCACAGTATCCTAACATACACATGAGATGAAGTGTTGTTCTCTTGTAGTCTCAAATATACAGTGATGTACCACCTCCTACACAAAAAGACATGTTTTCTTCTACACCGATATCACCTATGCTTGTGAAATTCAGGCTTCAATCTGCACGAAACCACCTGAAGAGCACATTAAAATGCAGAGCCCAGAGGCCTACTCCCAGGGATTGATTCGAGAGGTAGCTATAAATCCATTTTCTTTAACTTTTAAACAATATTTTAGACACAGGGTCTCACTATGTTGCTCAGGCTAGTCTTCAACACCTGAGCTTAAGGGATTCTTCTGCCTCAGCCTCCTGAGTACCTGGGATTACAGACTCATACCACCACACCCAGCTCATGAATTCACTTTTACAACCCAGGTGACAGACGACAACAAACACTGCTGTTTTTCAACTGATACCCATTTCCCCCTTAAGCCTTACTAAGAACACCAGGATTGCATTAAGGGTAGCAAGGTGAGGTGCTGGTTCATCTCAAGGTGAATTTTGAAATCGATGTGGCGATGTGACAGTTCTGGCCAAGGGTCAGGTCCCTTCCTAACTGAAAAGGCAAAGCCTCACTGGGAGAAAGCTCTCAGCCCTACTCCTGAAAAACAAATGGGATGCCTGGTGTTAACAGGTGTTTCGCCACCATGAGAATAAATGTTACAAGACAAGGATAAAGGAGAAGTAGATTAATGGGAGGCTGGGTCCATAATAACATCCTCAAGCAGCTGTACCAGTCCTGTCTGCCTATTTCCGGACATCCTGTTAAACTGGAAAGAGAAATCCCTCTGTGCTTATGCCACTATGGTCAGATTTCTGTAATGTGCAGAAACACCTCATATTTGTTGATACACAGGTGCTCCGAAGACCGTGCTGAGAAATACTGCCTTATTAAGCTAGGTATCCAGAAGGTTCTTAATAGTTTGAACTTCTTCTCTTGTATTCTCTTCTATTCTTACCTCTGTCAAAGGTGCGTGAATCAGAGCAACTCCATCTTAAATAGGAACTGGGTAAAATGAGGCTGAAACCTACTGGTCTGTATGCCCAGATGGTTCAGGTATCCTGAGTCACAGAATGAGACAGGAGGTCAGCACAAAATACAGGTCATAAAGAACTTGCTGATAAACCAGTTGCAGTAAAGGACCCAGCCAGAACCCACCAAAATCAAAATGGCAATGAAAATGACCTCTGGTCGTCCTCACTGCTACACTCCCACCAGCGCCAAGACAGATTACAGCACCATGGCAATATCGGGAAGTCACCCTAGATGGTCTAAAAAGGAGATCCACCCCTTGTTTAGCATATAATCAAGAAATAATCATAAAAATGGGCAACCCGCCCTCGGGGCTGCTCTTGTCTATGAAGTAGCCATTCTTTTATTCCTTTAATTTCTTAATAAACTTGCTTTCACTTTGCACTGTGGACTTGACCTACATTCTTTCTTGCACGAGATGCAAGAACCCTCTCTTGGGTCTGGATCTGACCCCTTTCCTGTAACACCTCTATTATGGTGTTCTTCTAAAGTATTATGTATTTCTTTCAGTCTTGTTGAGATGAAATGGAATAATGGGTTCTAACAATAAACATACCATAAAACTCAACTTCATTTGATTTTTAAAAATAAAATGAAAGGTCACATCAAACAGTACTATGCAATGAGAATATTATTTTCTCCTAAATTTTACTAAAAGCAAAAATTACTTACTCAATGAAAGTTACTAAGATTGTGGAAGATACTTCCATTTTTCAATATTTACCAAATTGGGAATAGGAGAATAGCTATACTTTGGAAAGTATTAATAAGGCACTAATGATACCAATTTCACAAATGAAAATTACAGGTTCTATGCTTTAAACAGTAATATATCAGTTGTACAACACTTTTTATTTTTATTTTATTTTATTTATTTATTTTTGAAACGGAGTTTCGCTCTTGTTACCCAGGCTGGAGTGCAATGGTGCGATCTCGGCTCCCCGCAACCTCTGCCTCCTGGGTTCAGGCAATTCTCCTGCCTCAGCCTCCTGAGTAGCTGGGATTACAGGCACGCACCACCATGCCCAGCTAATTTTTTGTATTTTTAGTAGAGACAGGGTTTCACCATGTTGACCAGGATGGTCTTGATCTCTTGACCTCGTGATCCACCCACCTCGGCCTCCCAAAGTGCTGGGATTACAGGCATGAGCCACCACGCCCGGCCTACAACACTTTTTATAATGTGCTATGTTAAAATTTGCTCTTGGCTGGAAACAGGGTGTCATTTGGTAGGACATATGTTTCAGTGTATCATATTATCTTGAAGAATTTTTAACATTTCAAATATAATGCAGCTACTTAAAATTAAGAGTTTTTACAGCAGTCCATCCATTGCTTATAAAATAAATGCAGCAGCAACCTGTTTCAGTAGCTTCTAAGTAAAGTTGTTGCAGATAATCCTTTAGCATTTGAGTGAGGAAGGTAGCTTGGTCTTTAACCTGACTCCACACATCGTATTTGTATCATTAATACCCTCTTCTAAAGTGGTATCCAGTTTTCAACTATAAAAGAAGTCAAAAGTTGCCAGGTGCGGTGGCTCACGCCTATAATCCCAGCACTTTAGGAGGCCGAGGCGGGTGGATCACAAGGTCAAGAGATTGAGACCATCCTGGTCAACAAGGTGAAACCCTGTCTCTACTAAAAATACAAAAATTATCTGGGCATGGTGGTGCGTGCCTGTAGTCCCAGCTACTTGGGAGGCTGAAGCAGGAGAATTGCTTGAACCCAGGAGGCAGAGGTTGCGGTGAGCTGAGATCATGCCATTGCACTCCAGCATGGGTAACAAGAGCGAAACTCCGTCACACACACACAAAAAGAAGTCAAAAGTTAAATATTAGGCTATAAGTATGTTAGGAAAAACATCTTACCTGTTAAATGGAGCCACAAAACTCATTTAAGCATTTCTATTTTATTATCTGAAACATTTCTCCTAAAAGATCATGTGTCGGGTTTCCAGTGATGCATATAATTAATCACATGTGCATCTCTACACTGTCGTTTTGTGAAGAGATACTACATGAATTCAGTGAGAGTAGTCTAACAAAGCTGTGTTTAAGAAGAGAAATGTTTCGCGAGTCGAATTCTAATTAACTTTATGACTGATTGCGGGGCTACTGGAAAGTTTTTTTGTAAACCAGAATGAGACTCTTTTTAAGTAATGGGGCCTGGACAAGGTAGTAACAAATGAGGAGCTCAATTATTTGACTCTTAATTTCCATTTGTGAAATAGGGTCCCTTTAAGAGAGAGGAAAGAAAAGCCCTAGAAGAGCTGCCTGAAAAGAACCAAGTTACCTTGTTTAAAGGGACTATTGACCATAAATGTCCTGAATGCAACTTTCCTTCCCCCAACAAATATACTGCAAACCACCTTGATTATCATAAATAACAGTGGCAGTATCAACAATGCTGTTAGAAGGGTCTCAGGGTGTCTGTCTGGTTGGGGCTGAGGTGGGTCAAGGGACTTCTCTTAAAGCTGTTTACGTGGATGACAGCACCTGGCTGGGAGAAGGGAAGGTGCTAAAGGCCCCTGAAGCCTGTGCTCAGCACCGTAACTGCTACCTGGCCCACTTCTGCATTTGCTTAGGATTCTGTTACCCTGTGAGAACCATCTGCTCCTCCAGTCCACCCAGCAGTCTACTCTGGCCCAAACAGGAGTCCTAACAGAGACATCTGGAGTCACAAGCCTTGCAGGCTGCCCCACCACCACCAAATTTGTCTCTATTCTGTCCTGGTCCAATATGGCAGGCCCACGTTCCTCTTCAGCTCTAGGCACAACTTCCAGCCTTCTCAAACTTCTCCAAATTTGTCCTGGTCACTGAGGAAAGTAGGAAAAGATGTGGGGGCAAAAATCCACGTGCCTCTCCATAACAAAATGTTTTGAAGTCTCTTATCTTAAAAATGCATGCAAATTTGTCATCTTACTCGATAGTATGTTTTTTAATATAAAATGATTTAAATAACCTACCAGTTAAATGAGTTAACCTTTTTCTTTAAAAGATGCTCAAGTAAAATTGGTGCTCTAGGAAGATGCCTATGATCAGCCTGTGACTCCCCATACTGCAAGCATAGCAATCCATACATCCAGGAATCCACATTCCAAAGGCAGAAACATGGATATTTAGACTCTAGTGTCTAAACGTGTGCATGATACATGTCCCTCTTTACCCCAAATTCCATAGATACCTACTCTTTGGCCTAAATATCAGTGAGGGGGTGGAAATGGGGTGGGGCAAAATTACGTCTTTCAAAAATATTTCGTAACTTTCATTTTTAAGTAATTCAGACTGGCTTTATTCTAATGTGTCTACAAATTAATCAGTTGTAGCTTGGAGTGTCTTTTCTCACCACCTACATTCTGCTATTTTACCTTACTTTATTTTAGCTGTGCAGTTCAATATTTGCAATAAGAAAAAAGTCTAATCAAAGTATCAAGTTTACTACCTCATCTTTTGTCCTCCAGTTACATACTCTCCTGGTTGTTTGAAGACTTGGGTTGACTGAGGCTAACTAAATCCAAGCATTGAACAGAAAAAGTAAATTAGGAATTTAAGAGGAAAGGCAACAAGAAAATATTTTGAAAAATGTATTTGATTTCTCCCTATAAGTTTCCTTTTTCCCTTCCCCCTATAAGTTTCCTTTTTCCCTTCCCCCTCACAAATGTCCCTTTATTTTCTTCCCTCAGAGGTTTGTAGTAGGCTCCCTGAAGTCCAATACGAGAGCTGCCGAACTCATATGAGAATAGGCAGATCATGTAAACAGTTGAAGTGGGCTGAGTAAAGGCGAGAGGGAGCAGTGCGGACCGTGGCAAGCTACAGAGTATGTGCTCCCTCTGGAGAAGCAACTGTTACTCAGCCCCAGCTCACCGTTGCTACGTACAGGAATGAGGGCTTGAGTGCTGGCAGACCTCATTTTTTCATGAAAACTTCAAAATCTGCATTTTAAAAATGCAAAACATTTGTTTTTACTTGGCAACTAATTTTGAAATTTTAAAAGAAAACAAGAGGGGGCCAAATTCAGTGTGCTGGCTAGCTCCAGTCCATGGGCCTGCCATTGTGATTTTGTCTCAAACCCATGGGAATACAAAGTGATATGTTTTCCTCCGTCTGAAAATGATTACAGAGGACCTCATGAAGAAAAGAGGCCTGTGGGCACAAAAACAGTAGGAACCTGTGCCCTGCTCCCTGACAGTGCTTAAGATCTCTGGCTCAATAGCCCTTCTTAGGGTGCCCCAAGGGGGCTGACACTGGGCCCTGAGTTCCCAGCCTTGCCATAGACTCCTGCGCCCCAAGGGTGATTTGGAAGCAGTAGAGTAGCAGACCTTAAGAGACTGCATGGGCTTGGGAAATGGTCATCTCAGTGCTAGCCAACTTGAACAGGTGACCCAGGAGCAGAGGGAGCTCCCTAAATCACAGAGCTGCGTATGACTGTAGAAGAGGGGATGGAGGGTGAGCCCTGGGAACCTCTGAGGTTCAGATTGCTGCCAAGGGAAAAGCATAATTATTTATAGAATATCTATCTCTCCTCCCCATGAAGGCAAATACCTTATCTGGCTCACTCACCAACTAGCACTTGGTACAGTACCCAGCACACAGTGGGGCTGCATTTTATAAAAAGTATGCAATTGAGAAATAGTGACATATAAGAGAAAATATCACTCTTTGCACTGTTATCTGAAATCATGTAAATCCTCCCCCCAAAGTAACAATCCATTAAGAATTGCATAATATTTAAACTGGTGGATCACATGAATTGTAAACACTGGGATGGTGCAGATTAGAGTTACAAACCTAGAGTGTGTATTCAAACTGGGCCAGCTGGGAGAATATTGACATTGGGCTTGGGAGGGCAGGGATGCTGAGCATAAGATAGATGAAGGATCTTCAGTGTGTTTTTTCTAGACCAAGCTCTTCTTATCAAGGCTTCTCTGTATAATGCTTAGCACCACGATGCATGCAGTTGGGTGCTAATAAATGGAACTACAACTACTCAGTGACTATCAGAGCATACTCAAGGAAAGTCATTTGACTTGTAGCTGTGATCACGGTTTGGAATACTCACTGAGAATGGGTAGGGTTCCTATTCCCTTCTGTTGCTGGAAGCAAACCAGTTCTCCATACCTGGGCTCCTGTGAAAGAATCTGTTTCCTCCCCATTCCTGCACTGCCAGCACCATGTGGCTCCAGCCTACCAGGGCAGCAACAGAGTACACCACAGAAGCTGCTCTCCCCTGACTAGTGTATGGAGGGAGGGACATGGCAGAGGAAGGAGCCACCTGGATTTTACTGTCTGGAAGTCTCTCATGTTTGACTTCCCAGAGCAATGTGGCAGCCAGGGTGGGCCCGAGGATGGGGAATAATGATAAACCCACATAGTACCCTCTCAAATCAGTTTCTTAGAGTTAAGGGAATTTCACATGTATTGAAGTTCCTTCTCAATAGTTTTCCTACCAGTAAAGGTGTATCCCTTACCCATAACATTGGTTTTACTATTGCTGTGGTCAGGCTGAGATGCTTGGATTATCAGCAGCTTGCTTAAATCAGAAGTTCCCTGAACCTAGAAGAGAAAAGTCAAAATTAGTCAAAAGAGCACTCTTTGATCTCTAACCTGGCTGCTTCCTAACCTTTCCAAAGAATATGAAAAAAAAGCCAAAGCCTAGAGCTGGGTCTTCAATCTTTGCTCTATCTTCTAAATTTCAAATCCTCTTTGATGTTGAGAAGCAACCAGCAAATTGTCTTTGCGTATCTGGACACCAGAAAGGAAATGTCTACACCTTACTTGTAACTAGACTGGAAATTCCCAGTTTGGAAAGCAGGGAATCCCCAGCAACCAGGGAGCTAATTTTACTCCACTGATGCTCAAGGGCTCAAGGCCCAGCATCCCAGGATGGCCAGACTATCTTCTGTTCTTAGACCATTTGTCCCATGTGCCATAAAATCTGCCTCCCGGAATGCCAGCAGCACACTAGTAATCATTAGAACTGCCATTTTTAGATTACCACATATTATCTCATTCAATCCTCACAATAACCCGATAAGATGGCTGCTGACCTTATCCCCATCTTACTAAGAAGGAAATTGAGGTTCAGAAACATTAAGCAGCTTATCTAAGCTCAAGTATAAGTAGGCACAGGGGTCAAGTTTTTTTTTTTTTTGAGACGGAGTTTCGCTCTTGTTACCCAGGCTGGAGTGCAATGGCACGATATCGGCTCACCGCAACCTCCGCCTCCTGGGTTCAGGCAATTCTCCTGCCTCAGCCTCCTGAGTAGCTGGGATTACAGGCACACGCCACCGTGCCCAGCTAATTTTTTGTATTTTTAGTGGAGACGGGGTTTCACCATGTTGACCAGGATGGTCTCGATCTCTCGTGATCCACCCACCTCGGCCTCCCAAAGTGCTGGGATTACAGGCTTGAGCCACCGCACCCGGCCGGGTTCAAGTTTTAAGTCCAAGTGTGCCTGACTCCAAACCCTGGTCTCTGAACAAACTAAGCTGCAGGCATTACTCCTGTTGCCCCCTTTGCCTCTTATCCCCACCCTTTGTTTCAAAGCTAAAAAGATTTTAATTTTCTATTTAAAACATGTAAATTACCTTCATCCTCTGAATTGTTGAAAGATCCAAAATAAGAATGTTTTGAAAGGGGAAAATTCACTTTTTAGGTTTACCAACTTTTCCAGGACAAATTTTCCTAACGACTTTTTACAGTCTGAACTGGCAGAAAAGGTTCCTCCCAAAGGGGAGAAACTTACTCCCAGATTTAAAGAGATGTCAGCTCTTCCCATAGCTTCTTTGTCCTCCCCATTCCTTTGTCCTATGGCAGGCAGCTTGGGCCATTAGGCACTTTGCTTCTACCCTTCCCATGTCCTGTTATGTCCTGGGTGGTCACACTTCCTTTGTGTTTACAGAGGTACAGAATGCTGAGGCCCAGGCCCCACGACCTACCATCAAGTTGTGTCCACAGCCCCTAACATGGCCACAAAGTGACGTGGCCCCTACTCTACTTCTTTCTTGTGAACCAGTGCAGATACTTTCAGAGCTATGCTAGAACACGGCACCGTTGCCGCATCTCATCCTTCCTCTGGCACAGTCCCACGCCAGGGCAAAGGGCATGACAAGCAGACAGCAGGCAGATTCCAGCTCCCTGTCCCTTGGGCGCACCCTTGTGTAGGGCACCTGTACTACAGTACACAGAAGCCATCAGTACCTTTTTCCTGTTTGTAAAAGGCAGGTAAGAACTGCAGGGGCATTCCAGGTGACATATCCTTTTAAGGTGGTCAGTTGAGTTTTAAAGTCACTTTTGGGGCACCATGAAAATCAAGTGACTCTTTAGAAATGATACTCCTTACCTGCTCACAGGTTTTAGGTATAATGCAAGGTGCAAAATATGGTTCCTCCGTCTTAGTATCAATTACACTGCCATACAAATTTCATGATCATATTATCAATAGTCATTTCATTATAGCTTGATAAAGTTTCCACATATGCATGATTGTCCATCACACACTTCTGAAACCTTAAGTCCTATAATAAAATTGCATTTTTAAAAATAAATCATACAAATTGACAGATGGTATCAAGAAGAAAACAGATTCACTGATCTATCTGAATTCTTTGTGGGTGTCAGAAGGCACAGGGCCGCTGGCACCAACAGACAGACTTTATTTAGCATTCAGAACGGCCTCTGACAAGTTTCTGAATTCCAAGTGTTTATGCTTTAGTGGTCCCTGGATACTGTTGTCCAGCCCTAATTTGTGAGCTCTCAGCCACAGCAGGGTGGTTGGCTATGACTCAGGAGATTCCTATTTGCACAAGAGCTAGAGTATTAAAAGATTCAGAGGTTCACCTAGCGGTAAGCTTACATTCCACTTGACAGGTGATTAGGACTAGCACAAAACCAAGCAAGCCACTGAGTCTGAGCTACATATACTTCAAGGTTCAGCATCGCAGACTTTAGAACTGGGAGGGAGTTGTTACAGGTTGAATTGTGTGTGTGCGCACACACACACCACCTCCCACACAATTCTTATGCTGAAGTCCTAACTCAGTATCCTGGAATGTGACCTTATGGAAATGGGGTCATTGCAGATGCAATTAGTTAAGATGGGGTCATACTGGAATAGGGTGGGCCTCTCATTTGAACGAGTAGTGTCCTTATAAAAAGAGGAGATTTGGACACAGACTTAAATCTACTTTTCTTTTTTTTTTTTAGAAATGATTGCAAGTAGCTTGGGAAAATTAACTGTGACAAAAGGATTGACAACCTACCTACAGGAACTCAGGATAAGAGAGCAGTTAAAATTCTAGCAATCACATTTTAGAAAATCAGACACAGGGCCAGGCACAGTGGCTCATGCCTATAATCCCGGCACTTTGGTGGGCAGATCACCAGAGGTCAGGAGTTCGAGATCAGCCTGGCTAATGTGGTGAAACCCTGTCTCTACTAATAATACAAAAATTAGCCAAGGATGGTGGCAAGCGCCTGGTATCTCAGCTATTTGGGAGGCTGAGGCAGGAGAATTGCTCGAACCTAGAAGGCAGAGGTTGCAGCGAGCTGAGATTATGCCATTGCAGTCCAGCCTGGGCAACAGAGTGAGACTCTGTATCAAAAAAAAAAAAAAAATCAAACACACATTTCCTTTCTATTTTTGTCTCAAAAATATGAAATGCATTCTGTAAAAAATACAGTGCACAAAAATTTATTAATATTAACATCATGTAACTTACCTCGTCAATAAGACTTGATTTAAAATACTGACATGCAGTATTGAGAGCAAACTTTATATTTTATATTCCAGAGATGGCCAGAAGACATCAAAGCCTTCATATAAATCCTCCAGGGAGATAAAACAGGCCTGAAGCAAAAAGGCACCAGGCCATAGCAGCTTGATTTGGAACTAAACTACAAGACCATCGAAAAACAAGATACCTGTGGATTTCATCTTCATCTTACCTCTCAGAAAAACGATCAAGTCTAGCATAATTTTGCTGCTCTTGTCATTTAGAAGCATTTGTACTGTGAAAATGGTTGTTTGCTAAGTATAAGATGATAACATGTATGGTTTGATTAAAGCTATAGACTTTAAAGAGACCAGAAAAATTCATATCAGTCAATAGATACAATGAAGGATATGACTCATGAGCCCAAAAAAGCCGTGTGAACTTATCTATTTTTATTGTCATGGTAGATAAAGTGAGCTCATTCAAGGTTTTTGTTTCCAGAGACAAACAGCTTAGCTGAATAAAGAGGATACACTTAGGCCGGGCGCGGTGGCTCAAGCCTGTAATCCCAGCACTTTGGGAGGCCAAGGCGGGTGGATCACGAGGTCAAGAGATCGAGACCATCCTGGTCAACATGGTGAAACCCCGTCTCTACTAAAAATACAAAAAAATTAGCTGGGCACGGTGGCGCGTGCCTGTAATCCCAGCTACTCGGGAGGCTGAGGCAACAGAACTGCTTGAACCCAAGAGGCAGAGGTTGCGATGAGCCGAGATCGCGCCATTGCACTCCAGCCTGAGTAACAAGAGCGAAACTCCGTCTCAAAAAAAAAAAAAAAAGGATACACTTTCAGATTCAAGTTACACGAACTTTAGTGAGCTCAATTCAGCCTTGTGACTAAACTCGTGCCTTCTCTCCTCTTCCAAAATGAAATGGTATGAAATCGCTAAAACATTTCCTTCCACTCCACACACCCCTAAGACTCGATCCTGCTCTGTTGCATCAGATAGTGTCCAAAGATTGAGAATTCTTTGGCTCACTTCTTTTATTTATTTATTTTTTATTTTAAAATTTATTTTATTTTACTTCAAGTTCCGGGATACAAACACAAAATGTGCAGGTTTGTAACATAGGTCTACGTGTACTAGGGTAGTTTGCTGCACCTATCAACACATTATCTAGGTTTTAAGCCCCACATACGTTAGCTATTTGTCCTAATGCTCTCCCTCCCCTAGTGTCCCACCCCCAAGACCCAAATGGCCCTGGTGTGTGTTGTTCACCTCTCTGTGTTCATGTGTTCTCATTGTTCAATTCCCACTTATGAGTGAGAAAATGCAGTATTTGGTCTTCTGTTCCTGTGTTAGTTTGCTGAGGATGATGGCTTCCAGCTTCAACCATGTCCCTGCAAAGGACATGTTCTCATTCCGTTTTATGGCTTCATAGTATTCCATGGAGTATATGTACCACATTTTCTTTATCCATTCTATCATTGATGGGCATTTGGGTTGGTTCCATGTCTTTGCTATTATAAATAGTGCAACAATGAACATATGTGTACATGTGTCTTTATGGGTCCTTATAGTAGAATGATTTATATTCCTTTGGGTATCTACCCACTAGTAGGATTGCTAGGTCAAATGGTATTTCTGGTTCTAGATCCTTGAGGAATCACCATACTGTCTTCCACAATGGTTGAACAAATTTACATTTCCACCAACAGTGTGAAAGCTTTCCTAGTTCTCCACAGCCTAGCCAGCAACTACTATTTCCTGACTTTTTAATAATCACAATTCTGACTGACATGAGATGATATCTCATTGCAGTTTCGATTTGCATTTTTCTAATGATCAGTGATGTTGAGCTTTTTTCATGTTTGTTGGCCACGTAAATGCCTTTTTTTGAAAGGTATCTGTTTATATCCTTTGCCCACTTTTTGATGGGATTTTTTTTTTTTTTTGTAAATTTGTTTAAGTCCCTTGCAGATTCTTGATATTAGACCTTTGTCAGATGGGTAGATTGCAAAGCTTTTCTCCCATTCTGTAGGTTGCCTGTTCACTCTGATGATAGTTTCTTTTGCTGTGCAGAAGCTCTTTAGTTTAATTAGATCCCATTTGTCAATTTAGGCTTTTGTTACAATTGCTTTTGGCATTTTTGTGATGATGTCTTCACCCATGCCTATGTACTGAATGGTATTGCCTAGGTTTTCTTCTAGGGTTTTTATAGTTTTGGGTTTTACATGTAACTCTTTAATCCACCTGGAGTTAATTTTTGTAGAATGTGTAAGGAAAGGGTTCACTTTTGATTTTCTGCATATGACTTCCCAGTTTTCCCAACACTATTTACTGAATAGGAGATCCTTTCCCCATTGCTTGTTTTGATCAGGTTTGTTGAAGATCAGATGGTTTTATATGTGTGGGGTTATTTCTGAGGCCTCTGTTTTGTTCCATTGGTCCATATGTCTGTTTTGTTACCCATACCATGCTGTTTTGGTTACTGTAGCCTTGTAGTATAGTTTGAAGTCAGGTTGCATGATGCCTCCAGCTTTGTTCTTTTTGCTTAGAATTGTCTTGGCTATACAGGCTCTTTTTTGGCTGCATATGAAATTTTAAATAGTTTTTTCTAATTCTGTGAAGAATGTCAATGGTAGTTTGATGGAAATAGCATTGAATCTATAAATAACTTTGGGCAGTATGGCCATTTCACACTACTGATTCTTCCTATCCATGAGGATGGAATGCTTTTCCATTTGTTTGCATCCTCTCTTATTTCCTTGAGGAGTGGCTTATAGTTCTCCTTGAAAAGGTCCTTCACACCCCTTGTTAGTTGTGTTCCTAGGTATTTTATTCTCTTCATAGCAATTGTGAATGGGAGTTCACTCATGATTTGGCTCTCTGCTTGTCTATTGTTGGTGAATAGGAAAGCTTGTGATTTTTGCACATTGATTTTGTATCTCGATAAGTTGCTGACATTGCTTATCAGCTTAAGGAGTTTGGGGACTGAAACAATGGGGGTTTTCTTTTTCTTTTTTTTTTGAGACAGAGTTTCACTCTGGTTGCCCAGGCTGGAGTGCAATGGCATGATCTCAGCTTACTGCACCCTCCACCTACTGGGTTCAAGCTGTTCTCCTGCCTCAGCACCCCTGAGTAGCTGGGATTACAGGCATGCGCCACCACACCTGGCTACTTTTTTTTTTTTTTTGTATTTTTTGTAGAGATGGAGTTTCTCCATGTTGGTCAGGCTGATCTCGAATTCCCAATCTCAGGTGATCTGCCCACCTCCACCTCCCAAAGAGCTGGGATTACAGGTGTGAGCCACTGCACCCAGCCAACAATGGGGTTTTCTAAATATAAAATCATGTCATCTACAAACAGAGACAATTTGACTTCCTCTCTTTCTATTTAAATACCTTTATTTCTTTCTATTGCCTGATTGCTCTGGACAGAACTTCTAATACTATGTTGAATAGGAGTGGTGAGAGAGGGCATCCTTGTCTTGTGCCAGTTTTCAAAAGGAATGCTTCCAGCTTTTGCCATTCTGTATGATATTGGCTGTGGCTTTGTCACAAATAGCTCTTATTATTTTGAGATATGTTCCATCAATATCTACTTTATTGAGAGTTTTTAATATGAAGGGATGTTGAATGTTATTAAAGGCCTTTTCTGCATCTATTGAGATGATCATGTGGTTTCATCATTAGTTCTGTTTATGTGGTGGATTACATTTATTGATTTGCATCTGTTGAACCAGTCTTGCATCCCAGGGATGAAACCGACTTGATCATGGTGGATAAGCTTTTTGATGTGTTGCTGAATTTGGTTTGCCAGTATTTTATTAAGGATTTTCACATCAATGTTCATCAGAGATATTGGCCTGAAGTTTTATTTTTTTTGTTTTTGTGTCTCTGCCAGGTTTTGGTATCAGGATGATGCTGGCCTCATAAAATGAGTTAGGGAGGAGTCCCTCCTTTTCCATTTTTTTGGAGTAGTTTCAGAAGAAATGGTACCAGCTCCTCTTTGTATTTCTGGTAGAATTTGGCTGTGAATCCATTTGGTCCTCAGCTTTTTTTTTTTGGTTGGTATGCTGTTCCTGCCTCAATTTCCAAACTCATTATTGTTCTATCAGGGATTTAACTTCTTCCCAGTTTAGTCTTAGGAGGGTGTATGTGTCCAGGAATTTATCATTTTCTTCTAGATTTTCTAGTATATTTGCATAAAGGTGTTTGTAGTATTCTCTGATGATAGTTGGTATTTCTGTGGGTTTAGGGTTGATATCCCCTTTATCTTTTTTTTTATTGTATCTATTTGATTCCTCTTTCTTTTCTTCTTCATTAGTCTAGCTAGTGGCCTATTTATTTTGTTAATTTAAAAAAAATCAGCTCCTGGAGTCATTGATTTTTTTTTGAAGCGCTTTTGTGTGTGTGTATGTCTCTATCTCCTTCAGTTCTGCTCTTAGTCACTTCTTGTCTTCTGCTAGCTTTTGGACTTGGTTGTTCTTGCTTCTCTAGCTCTTTTAATTGTGATGTTGGGGTATCGAGTTGAGATCTTTCTAGCTTTCTGATGTGGACGTTTAGTGCTATACATTTCCCTCTTAACACTGCTTTAGCTGTGTCCCAGAGATTCTGGTATGTTGTCTCTTTGTTCTCATTGGTTTCAAAGAACTTCTTGATTTCTGCCTCAATTTCATTATTTACCCAGGAGTCATTCAGGAGCAGATTGTTCAATTTCCATGGACTTGTGTGGTTTTGAGTGAGTTTCTTAATCCTGAGTTCTAATTTGATTGCACTGTGGTCTGAGAGACTGTTTGTTGGGATTTCAGTACCCTAGTACCCATTAGTTATTTTTCCTGATTCTCTCCCTCCTCCCACCTTGCACCCTCCAATAGCCCCCACTGTGTATTATTACCTCTATGTGTCCATGTGTTCTCATCATTTAGCTCCCACTTATATGTGAGAACATGTGATATTTGGTTTTCTGTTCCTGCATTAATTTACTAAGGATAATGGCCTCCAGCTCCATCCATGGTTCCTGCAAAAGACATGATCTTACTCTTTTTTAAGGCTACATATTCTCCTATGGTATGTATGTACCACATTTTCTTTATCTAGTCTATCATTAATGGACATTTAGGTTGATTCCATGTCTTTGCTATTGTGAATAGTGCTGCAGTGAACATACATGTGCATGTGTCTTTATAATAGAATGATTTATATTCCTTTGTGTATATACCAAGTAATGGGATTGCTGGGTCGATGGTATTTCTGTCTTTAGGGCTTTGAGGAATTGTCACACTGTCTTCCACAATGGCTGAACTAATTTATACTCCCACCAACAGTGTACAATTGTTCCTTTTTTCCATATCCTCTCCAGCAACTGTTATTCTTAAACTTTTTAATAGCTGCCAGTCTGACTGGTGTGAGATAGTATCTCATTGTGGTTTTGATTTGCATTTCTCTATTGATCAGTGATGTTGAGCTTTTTTTCATATGCTTGTTGTCCATATGTACGTCTTCTTTAGAAAAGTATCTGTTTATATCTTTGGCCCACTTTTTAATAGGGTTGTTTTAAAAACAAATAAATTATTCTTTAAAAAACACTATTGTCATAATGGTGACCATTTGTTGAACACCTACATGCGTCAGACATTTTACATAGATGTTTTTCTAATCCTTATAACATCAAAAGGTAGATATTCTCTCTACTTCATAAACAAGGACATTGAGACTTAAGGAGGGTAAATAACTACTCCCTCAGGCAGGGTGCAGTGGAGTTTGGCAGAGCCTGGCATGTGAGACACTAAATCTGCCTTCTCACCTCCCACTAGCTGGTTGGGTGACTAAGATGTCAAAACCCAAAGAAAGAAAAGATGCTGACTTTTTTTATTTACCTGAGGAATAATTAATAACTCATGACAGAACCATTTCCTACCTGTAAAATAGTTTCACAGATGATGGTATATTCAATTTCGTGCATAAGCAGACAGATTAGCTCTCCAATTATGTCCCCACTAGTACAGGGCTCTGTAAACATGGCTCTGGACTCTCTATTAGGCCTTTGGCTACTGCCTATTCCAAAGGTAGGAGATAAACTATGCAACTGCAAAGGGAAAAAGTGTGCAAAGGGAAAGAACAAATTAAAAACCCTCTGATCAAACCATAGGAGCTTTCACTATTTCTTACAATTTTTCCAGTGGAAAGTAAAGATCTCCTGTCAGGTGTAAAGGAATTAGGCTTCACACACACACACAAAAAAAATCATTATTTCTTTCACATTTCAACTCCCCAGGGCAAGGATTTTTTTCCTAATCATTGGTTTTACAAATGACCCCTATTTACAACTTTCTACTTATGTCTGTCTTATGTAAAAATACCACCAAAACTGGTAATTATCATATGCAACTAATGCAATCACTCATTGAGTCCATTAGATATTCTTACCATAATGGGCTAATGCGTCAGGTGGAAATTTTGATTGCTTGGACACATAAATCAGATATCAAGAATTAATATGCCTCCAAACCAAGCTATGACGTTAACAAAAGCCTTGTCTCTTTTTTGAATGCTTAAGAATAATTACTATGCAACATCAACAGGAAAAGTTTTTAGGATAAACATAGGATGGTTGAGTTACTTCAAGAAAATAACTGGTAGGCATAACTGGAGAAAGAAGAGAGGTATCAGATTTTAGGGGGAAGCTGCAAGAATTGAGATGAGAAGGATTCCGGAATTTTTCAGAAAGTTTAGCTGCAAACATCAAAGAGAGAGGGTATTGTTCGAGACACAGGAAACAGGGAGCAAAAGCAATTAGCATTCAGGCTGTTAAAGGCATTCATGCTTCCAGAGGAGTTTGACATTTTTTTTTAATGGCTGTAATTTTGAATGTAATTCAAAGGATCTTTGAGCAATCAAGAATGCCTCTGCTTATTGAAAAACCAAGAAAAGATGATGACATTTGAGGTAGGCAGCATTCTAAAGAAGGCCCCCCTGCAAGATTCCTGTCTGTTGTTCAAATACTAATCTAGGGATTGCAATAAAGGGACTTTGTAGTGGAATTAAGGTTGCTTATCAGCCTACCTTAAAAAGATGATTTATGGAATTAAAGCTACTAATTAGCTGACCTTAGAAAAATGTACAAAGTCCCTTCACAGCCATACCAGATTAGTATTTGATTGAAAAACAGATGGGAATACTGGGGGGACTGTAATCCCGTGAGCCCTTACAAGCAGAAGGGAGTCCATCAGAGAGAGATGTGTGAAGGATTCCACATGCCTTTGCTTGCTCTGAGACGTGAGAGCCTGCATTCAAGAATGAAAGGGGGCCAAGTGCGGTGGCTCAAGCCTGTAATCCCAGCACTTTGGGAGGCCGAGGCAGGTGGATCACGAGGTCAGGAGATGGAAACCATCCTGGTCAACATGGTGAAACCCCGTCTCTACTAAAAATACAAAAAATTAGCTGGGCATGGTGGTGCGTGCCTGTGATCCCAGCTACTCAGGAGACTGAGGCAGGAGAATTGCCTGAACCCAGGAGACGGAGGTTACGGTGAGCCAAGATGGCGCCATTGCACTCCAGCCTGGGTAACAAGAACGCAACTCCGTCTCAAAAAAAAAAAAAGAACGAAAGGGAAGTTCTGGGAGCTCAAAGTGGGCTCCAGCTGACAGTCTTTGAAGATGCAGGGACTTCTGTTCTATAACTATAAAGAGTAACTAGATCTGCCAACAACCTCAAAGAGCCTGGAAACAGATTCTGCCCCTAGAGCTTGCAGAAGGAAATGCAGTCCTACTGACGTTGATTTCAGCTTCATGAGATCCAAGCAGAGAAATCAGCAGAATCCTTTGGATTTCTGACCTACAGGACCATGAGATAATATATTTAAGCCACTGAATTTGTGGTAATTTGTTATGGTATCTAAAAAGTACTAATATAACCTCTTCAGACCAAGCTTCATTGGACTATAGTTTAAGAAGGCTTAGCTACTCTAGTCATTGCAGGAAAATTCCCAAAGAAACATGTTACAGCAAGATGCAGCTTTTAAGTACTCAACTTGCCATATTTCACAAACACTGGCAGCAGTGTGTTTTTCCCAGAATTCTTATGGGAGTATAGTATAATGACTAAGCACATGGATACTGGAGACGGACTACATGGGTTCTAAGTAATCTTTGACCTCTGAGTATGTGTAGTTGGAGCCAAGTGAATTTTTTTTTTCTGTGTATCAGTTTTCTATAAAATATAGGGTGATGGCTGGGTTCGATGGCTCACACCTGTAATCCCAGCACTTTGGGAGGCCAAGGCAGGCAGATCACTTGAGGTCAGGAGTTCAACATCAGCCTAGCCAACATGGTGAAACCCCGTCTCTACTAAAAACACAAAAATTAGCTGGGCCTGCTGGTGCATGCCTGTAATCCCAGCTACTCGGGAGCGGAGACAGGAGAATTACTTGAACCCAAGAAGCAGAGGTTGCAGTGAGCCGAGGTGACAGAGCGAGACTGTTGTCCAGGCTGGAGTGCAGTGGCACGATCTGGAATTCTCTTGCCTCAGTCTCCCAAGTAGCTGGGATTATAGACGTGTGCCACCATGCCTGGCAAATTTTTGTATTTTTAGTAGAGACAGGGTTTTGCCATATTGGCCAAACTGGTCTCGAACTCCAGATCTCATGTGATCTGTCCGCCTAGCCCTCTCTAAGTGCTGGGATTACAGCTGTGAGCCACTGTGCCCAGCCCATATTGCCTTTCTTGACTACCTTTTAAAAAATCACAATTAATCTCTTCCTATCTCCATCATCTCTAACATACTGTAAACTTATTTTTGTTCATTGTCCCATCTCCTTTTATCCCTCTACAAGTAATTAAGCTCCGAGAAGGCAGGAATTTGTGTCCATTTTGTCAATCCCATGCCTAGAATTAACAGTTCCTGACACATTGTGATAATGAAGCAAATATTTTGTGGAATAAATGAGTGAATGGATGCATGAAAAGTGCTTAGAATAGTGCCAAATAGTAAATAAGTGTTATACTGTGTTAGTATTCTATTTATCATAGTAGTTTGTTTCCATGATATTTTAAGGTCTGATATACCCATTTCAAAACCAGAAAACCAAATATATTATTTTTCCCCATATTAAGGATTTGTCATTTATGACCATCATCTAGGATCTAGGAATTTGGCTCATAAACTGGGGATCACCCATGAATTCAGCTACTAAAAACTATTATACAAATACAAAGGATTCTTGTCCCCATTACTCTACTGATCTCTCTCTCTCTCTCTCTCTCTCTCTCTCTCTCTCTCTCTCTCTGTGTGTGTGTGTGTGTGTGTGTGTGTGTGTGTGTGTCTGGGCAACAAAAGTCTCCCATTGGACAGATTAAAAGTTGTATTTCTGATCCTCATCCTATTTCCTTGGCATGGCATGAGTAATTCAAGCCATGCCAATTATTGATTTCCTTGTCTGAACATTCTGAAAATCCTGCTTCCTCCCAGGACTGTTGCAAGAAATAAGTAAAGACTATGACAGCATTTTGTAGAATGGAAAGCACATTTCTGATGTTGACTATCTCTCAGCTGTCATAGTTAGAGTAGAAATGGTTTCATTACATTAAAAATTTTAACTTTTTCAGTACCTAAATTTCTTCTTATTCTACAATTACATGTTTCAAAATACACTTTAAGTAAAAACAAAACAAAACCAAAAAAAAAAAAAACCAATAGACCCTTACAATTGCCATTCCTGAAATAATTAAGTAAATTCCTTGTGACATTTCACCTTTTTTACAAATGATATCGCCACAGTCAAAATAGGAAAGTTTGGCTCTTTCCTGAGTAAGAAAAAAAAGAAAAAGGAAAAGAAAAAAAGACAGTCAACACAAAGACTTCCTAGTCTACTTTTCTAAATATTATATATATATATGATTTTAAAGCTAAAAACAGTTTTCAAGTAGCATAAAAACACAAACTATATTCTTGGTTTATTACTGGACTGTAATGTAGTATTACCTCGTCACCTTTTAGAAAGAAAGGAACAGGCAGACAAACTTTGACTTTGTGATTAGTACCTAGCACAGTAACTTGCATAACTATGGAATGAATATGCAAATTAACAAATGAAAATTTTTTTCAGCCCCTGTTTGGAGATTGGGTTATAATGATAAGCTAAGCAATTTCCTTGACTTTGGGAAGAAAAACTTTCAGTTGTGTTGGGTAGATATTTACATAATCAAGTGGGATAATTACGACAAAGAAGACAACAGGGACAGGGCACTATGCAGAAAAATGCAGAAAAGCCACAGGATCCTATCTTGGTTGTTCTGTGAGGCCTTTACAGCAGACAGGACAACTAAGCTGAGACTTGAAAGAGGATAGCAGGGATAACATGAGTTGAAGACCTCCAGGGCAGAAGATTCATATATGCATGATCCAGAAGCAAATGAATGTCTGCAGTTAGGGTAATAGCAAAGATGGCATATGTCTCAGGCAGGGAGGGATGGCGACCAGGGTTAAGCCATCCACTAGACATCAGCAGGCGCAGCGCCTGCATCTACAGTACTTTTAGACATTTACAACAATGTTTTAATGTTTTTTAGAATCAGAAGGAGGAAAACTAGTTTTGTAAGAGATAATATATAATACTAATATATTCACTGTGATACTAACACAGTCATAAAGTCTAATTTTTAATGTTTTTTGTGGAGGAAGAGGTCCACTAAGGCAGAAGTGCCCAGGGCCCCTATGAATCACTATGTTTTGTGGGCTCTCTGCAACTGACTTCATGTGGTCCTTCCAGCACTGCTCCTGCCAGGGGCCTCTGTGCTGCTCCTGGAACACATCAGACACATCCTGCCTCGGGGCCTCCTTGCACCCACTACTCCCTTTGCCTGGAGTGCTCTTCACTAAGCCATCTACCTGGCTTGCTCCCTCACTTCTTTCACATCTCTCTCCAAATGTCACCGTATTAGAGCAGCCTTCTATGGCCTCGCCATATTATTTCCTCACCTTATTTTTCTCTAGCACTTACAACCATCTGATAAGCCTGATAGGCTATATATTTATGTGTTTGGTGTGTTTATTGTCCATCTCCATCCATATAATATAAGCTTTATGAAAGTAGGGACTTTGGCCAGGCATGGTGGCTCACACCTGTAATCCCAGCACTTTGGGAGGCCGAGGCAGCAGATCACTTGAGGTCAGGATTTCGAGACCAGCCTGGCCAACATGGTAAAACCCTGTCTCTACTAAAAATATAAAAACTAGCTGAGCACGGCAGTGCATGCCTGTAATTCCAGCTACTTTGGAGGCCGGGGCAGGAGGATGACTTGAACCTGGGAGGCAGACATTTCAGTGAGCTGGAATCGCACCACTGCACTCCAGCCTGGGCAGCAGAGTGAGACTCTATCTCAAAATAAAAATAAAAAAAAGAAAGTAGTTGACTTCATCTGTTTTGTTTACTGCCGTATCCCCAAACCTAGAACAGTCTCCGGCTTGTAGAGGATATTCAATAGATATTTGTTGAAAGAGTCCAAAGTCCTGTGGCAACCCTCAGCTGACAGAGCCTGAACTTGAATACTCCTCAGTTCTCACTGTTCCCTATTATACTATGCCCAATCGACTTTACTTTTATACTATCTGCCTGGTCTGGGCAGTAACTTAAATTTGAGATCCTTGCTCCAAAAAATGTCTCTCCCAGTGTGTACATCAAGAAGTCTACAACATAAAATAGAACGGGATTGGTAATAGACAACTAGAGCTACTCCTAATCAGATAAGCCATTGTGCAAAACTGTCTTTGCCCTTTAGGCTCAAAAAGAGACCTATTCTTCCTCCAGGCTTTCCTGGGCCTCCATTTTGGCTTTCCCTGAATTGGCCAGTATGGAATATGCTTTTCTGTCAATCTTTCATTAGGGAGTGGAAAAAATGGATAATTATCAAACCTGAACCAAAATAGAAAACAGAATCTTTACCTCGAAGAACTCAATGAGAACATCTTTACCTTCCAGCCAAATGATATTATGAAGGTGTTTGTCAGGAGTTGAGGGTGGGATTGCCACTGGAAAGTTACCTAGTGCTTTTATTTTTTTAAGAAATACCTAAAAATAATCACCATAATGGGGATCAGATCCTATAACAGAAAATGGACATGAGGCAAAAACTAGGGAAATCTAAATAAGCTACTATTAGGCAAGTTGAACCTTGATGTTTGACTCACGGCTTCTCTCAACCTATCTAAATTCCTCTAATCATTTTTGTCCCTTGTCTTCCCTTATTACTATTTTCACTGATTTATTAACTCAGATTGAACCTATCATCTTCATAATTCAGTTGACACAGTGGATGGAGAAGCAGAAAAGTCTAGTAAGTCTATAGAGGGAGCCAAAGGAAGATGCCATAGATGGCAACCCTGATAGGAAATGGAGACTCTAGAAAGCTTTCTAGATCCATGTTCAAATCCCTTCCTTAGGCCTTGTCACATAGCCTGGCTGATGTGGACTCTATAAAGCACTCTGTGTCCTTTTAATACATCCCCCAATCATTTTTTTACTAAACTTAGTTCAAGTTGGTTTCTGTTACTTGTAATCAAGTAGATTTGACAAATGTAGCTCACCGGGTAGCATTGGCATTGGTTGTCCTTTGCATTATCAAAGGCTACAGGTGATTATAGAGTTAACACCTGCAGTTAAACACTTTTTTTCCATCTTCATCCTCATTACAGCTAAAGTAACCATGAAGGCTGGGGTGTTATGCAGATAGAATCAAATAAAATTAACTTATTCAGCTCAATGTCCTCATGTTTATCAGTAATGCCTCTTGATCAAAGGAAGGTGAGATTTTTTAGAGCTTCAGCAATCACATTTCGGATTGCCTGCTTAGTCTTCAAAGCAATGACAATATCACGACATTCATGCTCTATGAGCCCTACAGCAAAGAAAATAAAATTCAGTAAGTGACCTGTGTGATAACCACAATAACTAATATCAGTATAATACTGTATAATTTCCAAAGCATCTACACAAAATTCTTTTATTCTAGTTTCACGCAGAACTTGTGAGGTCAGTAACAAGACCCCATAAAATAGAGTTGAAAATAACTCTATTTTATGGATGAGAAAATTGGAAACTGGTTTCTCCCCCCACACCTCCTCTCCACTCCCCACCCCACAGCTAAAAGAAAATCACTCTCTCAGTCTCAACCCCATGGCATCTCCTCCATATCTCTACTATGGAACTCATGACATTATCATGTTACTATTTGTCCTTCTCTGTCTCATCCTCTCTCTTGTATAATTTTTGTTGGTTAGATGAATAAATGACTGAATGAAAGAGTGAAAGTACTCCTGGACTTTGGCTGGTGGGTGTTTCTGAGATCAAGGCGCATATTCTTTCCCCTTTAGTAAACATGAGAAGATGTGAACTGGACTGTGAGTCAAGGTTAAAACTGCATCTGTTTCATATTCATATTCAACATGGAGCACAATGCTTGCCATATTGAAGGTACTCACTCACTTTTTTAACCAAAATGAATTGACCACTAAAGTGAAAGGTAGCAGTGATCAAAAGTATAGGTTTTAGTGTCAGATACACCTGGGCTAGAGACCTGGCTCACTACTTACTCAGGCAAGTTAACCCTCCTAATAGTAGTATCTGCCTCACAGGGTAATTATAAGGATTAAATGAGTTAATGTATATAAAGCAGTTAGCAGTTCCTGCCATGATAAGCATTCAGTAATCAGTTCCAGTAACCACATGGAAACAAGCACTGCCTTTTAGAGTAGTGAACCGAGAAAACTTTGTAATAGTCCATACTGATCTAAAACATAATATGAAGCAGCTATCCTAATCCCTTCATCTTTAAAATCACAGAAATAAAAACCTGTCAACGCGTAAATGGCAACAATGGGTCATGGGTTTTCCGAGACGAGGCCAAAATATTCTCTAAACTATTGTCTCTAAACTTACACTTTCATTCATTAGACCACGTCCTTTCCATTTTGATTTGGAAAGCGTAATACCCATACGGTGTCTTACAGTGTAGTCACGAATACGAAAGGGTTTTACTTCATTTACTTTCTTTCTTTTCTGATAACTTCCACTTATTAAGGGCCTTACATATACCAGACCCTCTACCAGATGCTTTTGCACACACTGAAAGCCTGCTCCACAGACCCACATGAGGAAAGCTGACCCAAAAAACCTGGTATAAAATCCCTGGGCTCCTGCTCCATCTTTCAAGTGGAGTGACTATGGATACTCAAGAAGTGACATTCCTTGCAGCCCTACATTCCAGAGCATCTTTGCAAAAGACAAAACCACAAAACAAAACCATCTTGTCAAAGGTAACCTGTATGTGTGTTTTTCTTCTAATCTTGAGGACTCTGATCTTGCCACCTTAATACACTTTCCACACTCCTCTCATTCTTTCCTCTACACTCCCCTAGCAACTAATAGGACTCTGCTAACTCTCTGCAATTATCTATTGATATGCTCATACACTTCTGTTTAAGGGTCGGGGTTTCCCATCTCTGCTTTCCCATACCTGGCCCATTAGCTGTGTTTAATAAATGCTTGTTGGATGCATAAATGAATGGGTAAGTAAATGAAAGCATAAATTTTTCTCCTTTTATTAAATTATGGAATAATAAGGTGTGACTTTGAGAGCTCAGACACTTGAACTACCTACCTAATTCTTTGACAGCATCCTGTTTGCTGGTTTCCAAAATTTCATATAGTTTCTGTAAGATATCAAAAACATGCATATCTTATCCCACCAAGTATACTTCTGGCTTTCCTTTTATTTTTATTTTTTGAGATGGAATCTTGCTCTGTCACCTAGGTTGGAGTTCAGTGGCGCGATCTCTGCTCACTACAACCTCCACCTCCCAGGTTCAAGTGATTCTCGTGCCTCAGCCTCCTGAGCAGCTGGGATTACAAGCCTGAGCTACAATGCCCAGCTAATTTTTGTATTTTTAGTAGAGATGGGGTTTCTCCATGTTGGCTAGGCTGGTCTCACACCCCTGACCTCCAGTGATCCACCACCTCAGCCTCCCAAAGTCCTAAGATTACAGGCATGAGCCACCACAGCCAGATGGCTTTCCTTTTAAATTCTGAGAAAAGGAAGTATGATAGAAGAAATTTCACTTAGTTAAATCTAGAAAAGCTATTGACTCAATTCTTCCCTCTGGGTCAATTCTGCTTCTTTGCGCATGCTCAGACATCAGTCTCAATCAATGAGTGTGGTACAGTCAGTAGCTTGCATAACTACTGTGCCTAATAGTTCTCAGGAAAGATTAGTATGCACTCCACTGTGCACTAGGGAGAATTCTCACTGACAGACCCTGATTTGGGAGAGCTAGTTGGGAAGCCAGCCTATTAGGAGCATAAAAAGAAGTGGAAAAATGAGAAAATATGATGTTGATTAGTTCATATTTCTTAAAAATAACACCTTGGGTAACTGAATAAATCACTGCACTCCAGGGCTAACCAATCTCTGTTGAATCAGTTATACAACAGATATTTGTTGGATACCCACTATGTCCCAGGCACTATTCCTCATGAAGTTTACCCTCTAGCTTTGAGTCCCTGGGGAGTTTGCACTTGGCTACACCAACAGTCCTGGAATCAAACAACATTGATTACATCAATGACCAAAACGGGGTGAGTACAGTGGCTCATGCCTGTAATCCCAGCACTTTGGGAGGCTGAAACAGGAGGACTGCCAGAGCCCAGGAGTTTGAGACCAGCCTGGGCAATATAGTGAGATCTCATCTCTATTCAAAATGGAAAAAGAAAGACCTCATGGAAAGTATATACAATTACAGCTGATAAGTACTGTGGGGAAAAATCAAAGTTAAGCAGGTAGAGGGGAATCAGGAGGATGAGGTAGAATTGAGGGTGTGAAGGGTGAGTTGACAGTTGACATAGGCTGGTCAGGGGAGGCCTCTGTGACAAGGTGAGATTTGAGCAACGGCTTGAAGGTAGTGAGGGAGGGAACCACGCAGATACCTATTGAGAGGATGTTCCAGTTTCATTTCTTTCAAGACAATGGGGTTTCTTTCTTTCTTTTTTTTTTAATTGAGTCGGAATTTCGCTCTTGTTACCCAGGCTGGAGTGCAGTGGTGCGATCTCAGCTCACCGCAACCTCTTCCTCCTGGGTTTAGGCAATTCTCCTGCCTCAGCCTCCTGAGTAGCTGGGATTACAGACACGCGCCACCATGCCCAGCTAATTTTTTTGTATTTTTAGTAGAGACGAGGTTTCACCATGTTGAGCAGAATGATCTCGATCTCTTGACCTCGTGATCCACCCGCCTCGGCCTCCCAAAGTGCTGGGATTACAGGCGTGAGCCACCGCGCCCGGCCTCTTTTTTTTTTTTTAATATACGAAACACCCAAATTGTCTCAAACTTCTGGACTCATGCAATCTGCCCACCTAGGCCTCCCAAAGTGCTGGGATTATGGGCATGAGCTACCACTCCTGGCAAATCTTAATATTTTAAAATGTGAAATTTTACCTTGAAGAGAGAAAGAAACCTAATTAGTCTTAAATATCCTGTTACTACTGTAAACTGATTAAGAGTCAAACTGTCTGGTATCTATTTCACAAGGTACATAAAAAAGATATCAATGATTCCAATGGCCAGGATAGAAAATTCCAAAATATTCCAAAGCTTTTGAAAATATTTCCTATGCAGAATTATTATCTGTATAGAAAACAAATAGAAACAAATGTCATTTCATAGCACCTATCCAGTAATGTTGGGGGGGGGATCTATAAAATTAATGATTAAGTTCTTAACTACAAATGAGTTATATTCCAGAAGTTGAGCTTTAAGTTGTTGATTTGGAATCCCCCCAAAATTCTCTTAAATCTTCAACATCAAAAATTATAGGCTGGGCCTGCAGGTCTCTGTTGAGCCACGGACGCGGGTCTCTGTTCTGCAGGATGGGGCTTCTTAAAGTTGTTAAGAATAAGGCCTACTTTAAGGGATACCAAGTGAAATTTATAAGACGACGAGAGGGTAAAACTGATTACTATGCTCGGAAACGCTTGGTGACACAGGATAAAAATAAATACAACACACCCAAATACAGGATGATAGTTCATGTAACAAACAGAGACATAATTTGTCAGATTGCTTATGCCCATATAGAGGGGGATATGATAGTCTGCACAGCATATGCACACGAACTGCCAAAATACGGTGTGAAGGTTGGCCTGACAAATTACGCTGCAGCGTATTGTACTGCCTGCTGCTGGCCACAGGCTTCTCAACAGGTTTGGCATGGACAAGATCTATGAAGGCCAGGTCGAGGTGACTGGTGATGAATACAATGTGGAAAGCATTGATGATCAGCCAGGTGCCTTTACCTGCTATTTGGATGCAGGCCTTTCCAGAACTACCACTGGCAATAATGTTTTTGGTGCCCTGAAGGGAGCTGTAATTATCTTGTATGTAAATAGCATCAAACATTATTCAAAGGGCCCTCAAAAGTGACTGCTAAAATTTACCAGACATAGAAACAGGATAATAGGTTTGTGACTGAAAGCCTCAGGAAGAAGATTTTTTTGTTTTTTTTAACTTTAACAAATCACACATTAATTTTAACAATCAATGGACTTTCAGAAGGTGAGGAAAAGTTTTCAAGTCATCTGAAAACCACATGCAAAGATTAAAGACATTGCAAGAAAAGAAATTTCAAAACATTATGTGAACAGCACCAACCATTTGTATTATAGCAACATGCAATCTGCCTTCTTCTATTAAAACTTCATCTGTTGGGGCTTCCTTCTTCATTTCCTTAGGTGAAACATGGGAAAACTGAGCCATACCAGACAACATGTTAAAACATAAAGAGATAAAGTTAAAAATAAGTAAAAATGATTAAGAGCTGGTGAATGCTACATTTAACAAAGATTCCAATACATCTCTTACTTTCAATTAGAAACTAGAAATGATTAAACTTAGTGAGGAAGGCAGGTTGAAAGACGAGATAAGCCAAGCACTAGGCCTTTTGCACCAGTTAGCCAAGTTGTGAGTGGAAAGAAAAATCTCTTGAAGGAAATTAAAAGTGCTACTCCAGTGAACACACAAATGATAAGAAGGCAAAACAACCTTATTGCTGATACGGAGAAAGATTGAATGGTCTGAATCGAAAATCAAATTAAACACAATATTCCCTTTAGCCAAAACCTAATCCGGAGCAGGGCCCTAACTCTCTTCAGTTCTATGAAGGCTGAGAGAGGTGAGGAAGCTGCAGAGGAAAAGTTAGAAGCTAGCAGAGATTTGTTCATGAGGTTAAAGGAAAGAAGTCATCTCATTACATCAAAGTGCAAAGTGAAGCAGCAAGTGCTGATGGAGAAGCTGCAGCGAGTTATCCAGGTCTAGCTAAGATCACTGATGAAGGTGGCTACACTAAACAGTAGACTTTCAATGCAGATAAACAGCCTTATATTGGAAGGGATGCTATGGATGACTTTCATTACTAAAAGCCAATGCCCAGCTTCAAAGGACAGACTAACTCTTGTTAGGGGCTAATACAGCTGATGACCTTAAGTTGAAGCCAGTGTTTACTTACCATTCTGAAAATTCTAGAATTAAGCTCAATGTATTCTGTCTGAGCTCTACAAATGGAAAAACAAAGCCTGGGTGACAGCGCATCTCTTTACAGCATGGTTTACTAAATAGTTTAAGCTCACTATTGATACCTACTGCTCAGGAAAAAAATAAAGATTCCTTTCAAAATATTACTGCTCATTTGCAATACACTTAGTCACACAGAGCTCTGATGGAGATGGACAAGGAGATGAATGTTGTCTCCCTGCCTGCTAACACAATGTCCATTCTGCAGCCTGAGTATCAAGGACTTATTTTGACTTTCAAGTCTTATTATTTAATAAATACATTTTGTACAGCTATAGCTGTCATAGATAGTGTGTTCTCTGATGGATCTGGGGAAAATCAGTAGAAAACCTCATGGAAAGAAGTCAGTATTCAAAGTGCCATTAAGAGCACTCATAATTCATAGCAGGAGGTCAAAATACCAACATTAATAGGAGTCAAGAAGAAGCTGATTTTAACGTTCACAGATGACTTTGAGGGGTTCAAGACCTCAGTGGAGGAAGTAACTGCAGATGTGATGGAAATAAAAAGGGAACTAGAATTAAAGTGGAGCCTGAAGATGTGACTGAATTGCTGCAATCTCAGAATAAAACTTGCATGGATGAAGAGTTACTTCTTATGGATGAGTAAGCTACGTGCTTTTTTGATATGGCATCTACTCCTGGTGAAGATGCTGTGAACATTGCTGAAATGACAGCAAAGGATTTAGAATATTTTATAAATTTAGTTGCTAAATTATAAATTATAAATTTAGTGGCATATTCAACTATACTAAGGCTCTACTATGAGACTTTGCCTAGTCTCACCCCAATTTTCCCCTCTCTTCTTGACCCTACTGCCACCAAGTATCTTAACCTGGATTTCTCTACTGAATGTGTCTATTTGTTATTTTATTATATTTATGCATTTTATTGTAAACAATCTGAGATTCCTTTTAGAAATAACCAACTGTGGCAGAGCCTCCCAATATCCATTATCTTTTTCTTCCGTCTGCCAATAGAATCTCTAAGTTTTGACTGATCATATTGTCAACCAGAAAAAATATTTCCCAGCTTGCCTTGCCCATAGTGCCCATATGACTAAGTTCTGGCCAATGAAACGTGAGTGATAACGATATATTAGAAAGAGGCTGCTTACCCTCCATTGCCACGCAGCCTCCCCCACCATTTCCCCCTTCTAGTTGGTTGGATTGTAGACATGGTGGTAGTGAGCAGGTTTCTACCCTGTAGACAAGAGCAGCTCCTTAGAGCATAGAAGAGCAATCAGAGGAAAGGAACTTGGATCTCTACGCAATCTTGTAGAGCAGAACCATCTCACACTTCTAAACTTTTTGGTGAAGGCAAAGAAAAACGCTTCTGTCTTGTTTAAGCCTTTGTTCATTTGATTTTTGTTAAACTGGATGAACCAATATCCCATGTAATACAGCATCTGTTACTTGGGATATGAATAATGAAAAATGAATAATTTCTAAGCCAATTTCTTGAGCTTGACACCCAACGATAACCTGTTGGTGTTTTTCTCCCCAGCTAATTCATGAACGAGACATATACTTTACCTAACTTCTTGGCTGACTGAGTCATTATGTATGAATTTATTCCCATCGTCAATAACGATATTACTTATACATAGAGTATAAACTAAAAACAAAGCACAGAAATAGTTAGAAGCAAAATATTAAGTACTCCAAAAGCAATCATTGTTTAATTAGCCACCATCAAAATTCTATTAATATCTTAATCCACATTTTAAAATCCTGTCCCTGATAAGTCAGTTAAGGCAAACAGGGTATTTTGTGAACATTGTCTGAACATACTACACTGGGGCAGACATTAATTTCCAATTGTGATGAGGAAAACAATAGACTGGAGATTATGTGCTAAGGCCACTGTGCGGGGAACTCTTCACAGTTGCCACTCCTGGCAGCGAAGTGGTAGCCATCCCAGACGTGGCTGTGGAACCTGCGGGGTGGGGAGAAAGCCCAGCAACCACAGGCGGGGTGGTGACCATGGACAGGAGAGGGCTGTGTGCCTGCCACCAGCATTTACTACGGCTGTACCAGAGGCTCTGAAGGAGAAGGCAGGAGCTGTGGTGGGATCTGGAGAGGTGCTGTGTGGAAGCAGAATGATAACCACATTTGTAGGCCATTACATTGACATTTCTTAGCCATGTGATTGGGGGCCAGTTAATTTAACCCCTCTGAGCCATAGCTCCTTCACTGAAAAGAGGAGTTAATAGTAATTTCTCCTCAAGTGTCTCTCACGCTTGACTAATAACAACAATCACCTAAAGTGCTTGTTAAACGTACTGACTCCCGCTGTGGGTTGTGATTCTGTAGGTCTAGGGTGGAAGCAATGGGATTCCTAACACCAGACAGAATTAAGAAACGCTGTAAAATGATGCTCAGGTGCTAGTTAACTTCTCATTGACTTGGGTTTAGGCCAATTCCTTGCGTAAAAGAAAATCGAAGGAGCAATATTGTTGATTATTTCACTTTTCTTTTGGAGCACAGAAAGAACCAAAGTCTTTGCAAAACCACCGGTTATTTGAACTCAAAATTAATGCTCAAAGCAGACGTACAGATATAAATCCTCAGAAAAAAATGTGGTGAGGAATATGAATATGATACCCCATCAAAAACAGCACTTCCTATTTTGGGAGTTAAGGCACCTGAGGTCTTTCCCTCTCATGCTACATACAGAAGACTCCTCCTCTCTTCTATTTGATTTCTCCACAAGCAAGATGGAAAGGTCAATAGCAGCTCCCAAAAAGAAGATATTAAATAAATACTGTACTCCATGGGCCTTCAGAACAGCAGCAAAATAGTAAAGAGGAGAAATTCTGGGCTGGAAATTAGACAATATCAACGAACTCCATACGTCTACCTCCAGATTCCTTGGTAGGTAAGTCAGTGTTCTTGGGCTCCTATTATTCAAGTGGTTTTCCCCCCTCCCAAAAAACAAGATTTGGGGTTTATCTGACTAGGAGGTAATGAGGGGCTGATCCTGGAGATTTGTAGCAGCTTCTGGAAACTTCTCTAGCTAGCTCACAGTGCTATTACAGATGACAAGGTGCACTGCCAGCAGATGCACTGGGCTCTTTGGATTTCCAGGGACTGTAAGATGCAGCCACCACCAGACTGCCCAGAAATCCACCAGCTAACGCATGGGGAAAGGCTTTGAGAAAGAGTGGAAAGTAAACCAAGTTTTTTTTTTTTTTTTTTGCTACAGATATTGGAGTCTTTGCCTAGAATTTTTCAAGAAATAAAATTTTTAAATTAGCCTTAAAGACATAAATATAACTAGATCCTTAATTTAAAAATGTATAAAATCTTTCTTATCTTGGTATACTTAACTAGTTTCGGTTTTTGTTCCAAAACCTTTCAGTTTTTGTTCTAACTATAAGGAAGAGAATGTTCTTGACAAAAGTATTGTTTTTTCATGCTTTCTGGTAGCTATTGAAAAATAGCATTTGTACCTGGGCATGGTGGCTCATGCCTATAATCCCAGCACTTTGAGTGGAGGCCTAGGTGGGCAGATCACCAGAGGCCAGGAGTTCAAGACCAGCCTGGCCAAAATGGTGAAACCTTGTCTCTACTAAAAATACAAAAAAAAAAAAAAAAAAAAAAAAATCAGCCAGGTATGGTGGTGCACACCTGTAATCCCAGCTACTTGGGAGGCTGAAGCATGAGAATTGCTTGAACCCAGGAGGCAGAGATTGCAGTGAGCCAAGAATGCACCACTGCACTCCAGCCTAGATGACAGAGAGACCTTGTCTCAAAAAAAAAAAAAAGAAAAAGAAAAGAAAACAACGAAAAAGAAAACAAATAGCATTTGTGTGTTCAATAACATTTATTGAGCATTTATTAAGTGTCAGGTATTCTGCTGAGCATCATCTCAATCCTCAGCTGAAAGTTGAGGCACAGCAAGGCTGGGGAACTTCCTCAAGATCACCTATCCTGTGAATGGCAGAGTTTCAGACCAGAGCCCAAGTTCACCTAATACCATATCCATAATATAATTACTGGTCCCTTTCACATTCTCAGCATAAATAAGGTTCTACTCTGTTCCTTTCTACTTAGAAGAATACGTTTTAAAAATCTAATTCAAAGCTGGTTAACTTTATTACTGGCTTCTCTGACAAGCGCATAAATTAAGTAAAAATGATAAATATGAATAATCATGAGACATGATCTTTCCTACCATTTCTGGTACTTCTACTTTTTGTTCAGTGATATTATAAATATCAGGAGCAAAGAGTAAACTAAAAACTACTTTAATTCTGGACCATGTCATAACAACTCCCCATCGCCAATTATATTCAAAATTCAAACGCATCAAAATAGGGCTCACTAACAAAAAAGTGAGCAACTTGTGGAGAGAGAAACATTAAAAACAAATCACACCTTGTTTATTAATGTTATTCATGGTTGAAAGCATGTACTAAATACTAAATTGAATATACATTTTTTCACAAAGATAAAACAATGCAATTTATTGTTAAATCCTTCCAATTTTCTGGGACTAACCAAATCTACTATTTAAATTTTGCACATTTCAGCAATAATGCTGAAAGTTTTAAACAACTATAAGGAATTATCATCAACGCTACTGTATATTGTTTGGATTCGTGTAGTAAATTCTCACAGGGAAACCTCTTCTAAGAATGCTGACAAGCTCAACTACTCCCTGAAAAGCCATACATGACTGGATTCAAATATTATAATGGGGGCATGTGCAGATCATGACCCAAATGTAAGATGATTTTAGACACATTAATAAACTTAACCCAACCAAATGTTTACTGAGCTCCCACAAGAATCATACGCTAAATGTCACACGAATAATTTTAATTTGCGCCTTCTTGCTCTCCAAATTACATTTTAAAAGTAACCTGTGCCAAAATTTAAAATCTATCATTAAGGGACCAGCACTGAGAGAATATCAGTACTGTCCTTCAAATGATTTAGAACAAATGAAATTTCCGCAAAAATAAAATCAGATGTGTTCTTAGCCTCAAAAAGTATATTGTGCATCAGTTGAGCTATAAATTGTACAAGTCAATTTAGAGAATTCCTGTCATTGAAAAACAGGAAATCTACAATTACCACCTATAATGTATGTAATTAATTTGGGCAAACTCCTCTGCCTTGCATTCAAGCCTTTTGCAACGTGACTCTTACTAACCTTTTCAGCCTTACTAAATAACCTTTTCCCTAAAATATCAGAGTCCAACCAAAATAGAACCAACTTATGTCATTTCCTGATATCAAAAACAGGGAGGCAGAATAGCAAAAGACTCTGCAGTCAGCCTACCTGTGTTAAATTTAGGCTTGCCTTTTACTAACTGCATAACTATATTCGCAAGCTATTTAATCTCTCTGTGCCTCAGCTCCTTCATCTGTAAAATGAAGATGATAGTAACAATTGTACTTGCCTCAAAGGATTATTGTGGTAATTCAATTAAATGTGATAATACTCAAGGCTTAGAATGATGCTTTGCATGTGGTCAGCACTCAATACATAATTATAACTATATACAATACATATGTATCCATACAAAATATTCAATCAGCAATGCTTATTGTGTTCGTGTATTCCCGTTTCTTTATCTTGGCTCATCCTCTCTGAAATGTTTTTCTCAAGTCTTTACAAGAAAACCCACCCACACTTCGAGGGCCAACTTAAGGATAATGCCCTTGATTAAAGCCTTTCCTCTAGTGCGTGGAACCATCAGTTCGGCAAGATCTCTGCCACTCACTAGCCATTTGACCTTGGACAAGGTCCTTTGCTTTTCTGGGGGCCGATTTCTTCAAAATGTAGAAAATAACAGAGATAAATAATTGGAGATGATAATTATTATCTCCTAGTGTTGTTAGGAAGATGAAATTAGAGAATGGATGTATACCTGAGTCAAACTGTGCTAAAGCCAAGTTTCTTACATTATGACTGATCTCAGCTTACATATGAGCTCTCATGGCAGAGCATGTTAAAACTATTTCCTGGCTCTCATACTTAGAGATTCAATTCAGTAGGTTGAAATGGGCCCACGAATTTGCATTTCTGTCTAGCTTATGGGTGATGCCAATCCCTCTCATTTTATGGATAAACTCTTGAAAAATAAACACACTTATCCCAAGTTGCACAGCAAGCTATTGTCAAGGCCTTGACAACAAGGCAGCTTTCCTGGTTCCATGTTCAGAGCCGTTTTTGCTATATGTCACTGCTTCCTAATTCTAATTATGGGCTTGAGAATCTAAGTTTAGTAAACAAACTTAAAAATATTTTTCTTACCTTACCAAATTCACTGCTGCAAATGAGATGAGTATGAAAATTATGGTGTGAAATCCATAATGGTTGGTTCCTCCACATCCAATCACAATACCAGAGAAAGCATATATTAAATGTTCGTATACAGATGAAAACATTCTTAAGATCCTAGGATGAATGAAAAGGAAATGACATTTTAAGCAATGCATCTTAAAAAAATTTTTTTTTTTCACATAAAAGCATGTATCTTAAACCTTTCACTGTCTTAGCAGAGGCCCTTGCCTTCATCTCTGTTATAGTCAACATTTAAAAGAATTTTGTTGGGTCTAAAAACACCCCGTTCCATATTTTTCATTACCCTCATCATACCAATACCCATGGGCTGCTTCTCAGAGTAGAATAACAACAGCACGGCAGAAAAGTGAGGACCTCCCCCAGCTGATGATTTATCAGTTTCTCTGGGATTTTCTGGCAGCATATCAACTGTTGGGCCTGCTACTGTGAAACCCAGAGTTGCACTGCTACTAGGAGGTACCTCAGCAACTTTGACTTTGCAATAGCTAACCGGATCATCTCAATGCTTTCTGCACAACTTCTCCCTCTGTGACTCACATGTGCTCTTCTATTTACTTTGAAAGTCTACCCTGTCTGCTTTCCTGCCTCCTGAATTCCTAGAAGTCTTGTAAGGCTAACTCTAGCCCCACATTGTCCATGAAAGCATCTTAAGCACCCTAGGTGGTGGCAGTCCTGCTCTGAATTCCTACAGTGCCAACTGTCTGCACTACTATAGTTTTTAAGCAGAAGAAAGCATTAGAATCACCCAGAATGAATTCTAAAAATTGACAGAACCACCCGCAGAGATTCTTACTGAGTAGACCAGAGCACATGGGTTAGGGCATGGGACTGAGGCCTCAGTAGAGTACATGTTCTGTTTGGTAGAGTTCCACATCGAAGCACACCTAGGTCAGGGCCAAATGTGATTTCCACAAGCAGATCTCAAGACCTGCCTCCTCTAGATTCTCTCTCTTGGGACTTTCTCTTTCAGCTGACTGGGTAAGTGTGTCTGCCCCACAAACCAGCTTCCTTACAGGTGGATCTCAAAATTTACGCTCAGAAAAAAGCATAAGCAAGCTTTATTTTAGCTACAGATAAAAATCACATTCTTTGATACATACAGCATTACCCCAATTAAGGAAATAGTTTGGTTTTCCAAGTGATTTCTATCTCTTGATTCAATTGATTCCAAACCCCTAAAGAGAAAGAGTAGGGGAACCTAAAACCCTAGTGTGTAGTTTTCTGAATTTCAAAATTCAGAAGTCATAGAATAACTGACTGAGTTAAATACTTTTTCAAAAACCTCAGCTGGGCACGGTGGCTCATGCATGTAGTCCCAACACTTTGGGAGGCTGAGGAAGGCAGATTGCTTGAGCTCAGGAGTTTGAGACCACCCTGAGAAACGTGGTGAAACCCCATCTCTACAAAGAATACAAAAAACTAGCCAGGTATCATGGAGCATGCCTGTAGTCCCAGCTACTTGAGAGGCTGAGGTGGGATGATCGCTTGAGCCCTGGAGGTGGAGGCGATAGTGTGCTCTGATAGTGCCATTGCCCTTCAGCCTGGGAGGCAAAGCAAGATCCTGACTCAAAAAAAAAATTTTTTTTAATCTCTCCACAAGACCTAAAAAATGCATTACGTATAGTAGAACCTGAATAAATGCATGCTTATTGACACCTATTGTTACTTTCTTATATAAACATGTCTGCCACTTAACAATAAGCACTTCTGAGACGGGACTTATTTTTGCAGCCCCAGACCTAAGATGCAATATTCAGACCACAGCAGATGTTAAGAAAGGATTGGGTTGAATGGGTGAAAAAATAAATAATTGAGTGAGTAGAAAGTAATTTATAATGATGTCAGCAAACAGCACTATCAGGAAACTGTCTAAATTCAGGCATTATGCCAAATAGATGTTCTATGAACTAGTTATTCCCAAGCTTCTTGACTGAAAAAACACAGTAAAGTTTCATTCACATACACACAAATAGGGAATAGTTTTAGGTGTCCATGTTTTTTTTCTTTTGCCAAGTAGGCAAGAAAATATTATCTTCTGTCATTGAAATGTCATAAAAGAAAGGACAGTATAAACAACAAGAAAGTAGGATGAACATAATTTCACAATAATGCATAGTCCATACATTAAATAAATTAATTTTCATGAGAAAATCAAGATTATGGCTTATTTTTCTCATTTCGACATTTGTTTTCATCTGATGCAGAAATTTCTACATTAGACAATGATCTGGTATCCAATAATTCTGAACCAATTCTCTAATTTATCATAGTCTTTAAGAGAAAGGCTAATTTATTTTTTGCCTGCACAGACAGGCAAATGATTTTCCCTCTGTCCAGAAATGTCCACGTGGCATTTATTACCAGGAGAAAAGGGCAGGTGAGAGTTTTGTTGATGTTACATCTTTCTGCTACTCTTCCCCAGCTCTTCCCATATTGCTATACTGTGATTTAGGTATATTATGAAGGAAACAAAGAAAAATGTATTTTTTTTAAATCTCCACAGTTCAAAGTAAATTTTTATCAGGTTATATACAAAAAACACCATGGTCTCTGAGTCACTGATACTTATTCATAACCGGAGTATCAATTAATGCTGATAATTGTTGGTACCTTAGATTCAAATATAACTGAGAGCAAAAATAAAATTTTTAAGGATAAATAAAAGCTATGGAAAAAGAGTTTTATTAGTGTACATGAAGATGAGATCCCTTATGTTATGAGATCTAAACTGCTATGAGATCTATCCAAGTGCATGATAGGAAACTTACCTAGTAATTACAAATTCGGTCCTCGGTTTAAAGGTTAAAGATTGTAAATTCAGTCCTACAGTGGCTAAGGCAAGAATGCCTAATATTCCTAAATATTCCACTGAGGAGAAAAAAAAACAAACAAATGAATCAAACGAAATGCATTCAGTTGTATACACTGAGATACTTTATCTTGAATGAAGAATTGGTGGGCATCTTAAGAGGAGCAGTAGTTCTTAGAAAGTTGTTCAAGGGATTGACCTAATCCAGTAAACTGGGGGCTGGCAAACTTTTCTATAAAGGGCCAGATAGTAAATATTTAGTGTTTGTGAACCAAACAACCTCTGTTACAATGGCTCAATTCAGCTGCTGTAGTGCAAAAGCAGCCATAGATAATATGTAAATGGAGGTGTCCAATAAAACTTGGTTATGAGACACTGAAGTCCAAATTTCACATAATTTTTATATGCCATAAAATATTCTTCTTTTGTGCCATTTTTGGCACAAAAGAAGAATAACATTTTCAGCTAACTGGCAGATATGGCCCAAGAGTTGCAGTCTGCCAACTCCTGCTGGAGACCATCACTGAGGATAGGGCTCATGGAAAAATAAGTTCAGCAGCCCTCAAGGTATCCTTTAAGCATCTCAGGAATACTGCACTACATGTGCCAGGAGTTGTGAGCCAAGCTCAGTGCTTGTAATGATGCCAGTTCCTTACGCCTGCTTTTCTTTTGCTGATATAGACCTTCCTAATTAAACTTGTAATTTGCTGGGCTCTAAACAAGTGTGTAAATGTATTAATAGTCTGAGGCAGGAAAACCAACCTGAAGGATGTTTGAATACCATAACTAATAGTCTTAGACCGCAGAGTCTTCAAATAGCACATTAAAACTGTCAGACAGAAAGGAAGACAAAGAACATGAAAGGCAGGAATGGAAGGGCTTTGGGGCAAAGCAGAGCTGGTTGCTCTTGGAATGTGGCCTCACCTTCCTCCATTAATGGCCCTGCAACTATAAAACAGGCATAAAATAGTTATGACTCATATGCTTGGCATACTTTTAAAGCAATGAATAAGTGATAATACTATCATGCTGTTGTTTGTATCTACTTTATTGCTTAGTAAATTATTTATTAATTTAAAGAGGAGTTTACTATTCTTTCAGTTTATCTAATCACTTAAGTTCACTTTAGACTTCTTTTTATCTACCTATTTAACTGAATTTACCTTAAATAACCAATGATAATAAAACCAGGAGTGCTGCAAACTGTGATGCCAGGAAAACTATCTTTCAATAATTAAGGTTTTATAAAGAAGGGACAGTGTAAGTAATAAGCCCCACTTATAGGCAACAAGGGGATGCATTGTTTGTAGCCTTTTAAAACAATTATAAAGATGATAAAAAGTCCTTCCACTTTTTATTATCTCCATTCCCCCAGAAATTCTAAACACCGTCACTTAATAAAATATTCCTCCTTGCTAGGAGGAATAAAATATTCCTCTAGCCTACACTTTTATAGAACCCATGTTCTTTCATGAATTATACATCAGCATTCCAAGAGGTGACTCTCCAACCTCAATCAGATCCTCTCTGGACTTAAGCTTAAATGAGGGGGGAAAAAAAAAACAAAATTAAACAACAAACAACATGAAAGAAATATAACATTAGAGAATGTATAAGTGAGAATTGTACCTACATTGTAGCTCTCTGGCTATGGAACATCTCCTTATAACACTGCCTCTTTCTGACTTTGCTGTCAGGAACTTACTAAGTATGAGTAAAGGACTGCCTGACGTTTTTAAATTCCTGAAGCAGAGGAAAGTGTAATTAAGGAGGGAGGTGTATTGGTTTCCTAGGGAGGCCAAATTGAATAGCACAAACTGGGGGCCTTAAACAACAGAAATGTATTGTCTGTCAGTTCTGGAGCTAGAAGTCCAAGATCAACAGGGTTGTTCCTTCTGAGGGCTGTGAGGGAGATTCTGTCCCAGGCCTCTCTCCTAGCTTCCGGTGGTTTCAAGCATCCTTTGGCTTATAGCTGGTATTCTCTCTGCGTCTTCACATAATCTTCCCTCTATGTGTGTCTGTTTCTGTGTCCAAATTTCCCCTTTTTATAAGGATACAGTCATACTGGATTAGAACCCACCCTAATGACCTCATCTTAACTTGGTCATCTGCAAAGGACCTATTTCCAAATAAAGTCACCTTTACAGGTACTGGAATGCAGGACTTCAACATCCTTTGGGGGGATACAATTCAACCTAAAACAGGAGGCTACCTAGCAAGCTTTCTTTCTGAGCAGTGGCACAGTGCTGCCTTGAAGCCCCAAAGAATCATTAGCTGAAATCAGTATATATAGTACACATAAGTGCTGACTCTGGGATGTATTTAAGCCTGAATGGTTAGTGTAAAATCCCTACCTTCTATAGTTCGTTCATACTCTGCAGTAAGTCTTCCTGAACAAATGCAACCAACTGTCCCTCCCTTCCACTCCCCTTCATCTCCCCCCACCTAGCCCTATGAGTGTTGTTCCCTTCTCTGTGCCCAAATGTTCTCATTATTCATCTCCCACCTATGAGTGAGAACATGCAGTGTTTGGTTTCTGTTCTTGTGTCAGTTTGCTGAGAATGATGGTTTCTAGATTAATCCATGTCTCTACAAAGGACACTAACTTGTCATTTTTTATGGCTGCATACTATTCCATGGTATAGATGTGCCACATTTTCCTTGTCCAGTCTATCATTGATGGGCATTTGGGTTAGTTCCAGGTCTTTGCTATCATAAACAGTGCCACAATGAACATACATGTGCATGTGTCCTTATAATAGAAGGATTTATAATCCTTTGGGTATATACCCAGTAATGGGATTGCTGGGTCCAATGGAATTTCTATTTCTAGATTCTTGAGGAATCACCACACTGTCTTTCATAATGGTTGAACTAATTTATATATATATATTTTTTGGAGACAGAGTCTTGCTCCATTGCCCAGGCTGGAATGCAATGGCGTGATCTTGGCCCACTGCAAACTCTGCCTCCCAGGTAGAAGGGATTCTTGTGCCTCAGCTTCCTGAGTAGCTGGAATTACAGGCGTAAGCCACTACACCTGGCTAAATTTTTTTACTTTTAGTAGAGACAGGGTTTCACTATATTGGCCAGGCTGGTCTCAAACTCCTGGCCTCAAGTGATCCACTCACCTCAGCCTCCCAAAGTGCTGGGATTATAGGCATGAGCCACTGCATCTGGCCTATCATACCACTTTTAAAGATAAGAAAAGTGAACTGTAGAGTGGTTAAGTAATTTTCCAGGGTCACCAAGCTAATAAATTGCAGAGCTGAGATTTGAACTCAAGTCTGCCCAACTCCAAAGCTCTTCAAGGACTAGTAGTAGTTTACTCAACCAACATGTGTTAAATTACTATCAGGCACATGGCAAGCTCCAAACATAGAAAAGAGAACAAATAGGAAGATGACTAAGAGACCGTCTTCACCTCAAGGAACTCACAGTGTAGTAGATAGGCTAAATTTTTTTCTTCAAACATTAAGGCATCTATAAAAAGCAGCATAGGAGAAGAAAAAAAGATGAAGATATTTGAAGGAAAGGAACCTTCAGTGAATGCTTTCTATAATTTTATTGATTCAGGGCAGTGAGCAACCCTCAGGAATCTGTAAAAGAAGCAGCGCTTTTAGGTCACTGTAGGTGAAAGAGAAACAATTAACCTCTTGATACCTGAGGTCTTTCAAGAACAGAAGTTGCTTCACTGTGTGAGATGAGAGCAAAAGTGGAATCTGACAGTTTGGCCACAGTTACTGTGTCTCTTAGGGACTGGGCACCTCAGTCAGGCCAGTAAACACTTCAATCTCCGTTTCACTGGACTAAACTAGCTGAAGGTCAGCCAGTGCTGGGCACTCTTACTCCTGCGATTATTTCACTCCTGCTTCTCTTTCAACAATAAATATACCTCTCCTTTCCTGACTCCTAGCCTAAGTAAAGGCTGCCATTACTGTAGTCTCCTCAATTTGGCAACCATTGTATTAAAGGCTGTTGATCTAGAAAGGCCTCAAGAGCATCTCTCCCAAACTTCTCAGTTTGCACATGGTTGCTCAGGGTTAGAGCAGAATTAGCTCAGTGTTGATTCCTCTGCCCAGGGAATGCCAGTGATTATATACAAGGTCAAAGGAAGAGTTCAAAAAGAATAGGAGAATAACCACAGAGAACAGTGCAAGGAAATGGGACATGGAGTTGAAATAAAGAGGATATTAAGAAAGACCAGGAAAGGGCTAGAGGTAACAGTAAGATAGTATGACAAGACACACAGTGGGGCCACAAAAAGAAGGAGATGTTGGAAAGAAGAACTGGATTCAAGATCAGGAAAAAATAAAGGTGTATATAGCTCACTTTGAGGACAGTACTTTTTGTATTTATTTCTGCCTTAACAATATAGAAAGTCATGTACACTATTGAAAAGCAGAGAATGTTAATAGTCAGCATATTGATAAAAAGTTCAGCCAATATAAACCGAATGATTCTTGCACACCAATATCTAAATATTATGCTTCCAAAAATATCCAAGACGATTCCAATGGCTGCATGTAACACTATAAATAAATAAATAAATAAATAAGAATTAAAAAGTTGAGCCAGAACTTTTGTTTCTTTCGTTGATGGCATTTAGGTCTTTGCACTTTGGTTTGCTGGGGTGATTTTTGAGTGGGGAACTAATCTTTCAGCAAATAGAAGTTTCCCAGGAAAGTCTGGTGAAAGAGGCTCTCTTAGAATATCCTTCCCTTATGGTCTACAGCTTAAGATTTGTTTATCTAAGGAAAGAAGATTCAAATGTCCTCAGGAGAAAGGCAAGGAGAATAAATGTGAAAAAATGTGACAAACTGGTTTAGACTGAATATCTAAACAAACAAACAAAAAATCTAAATAAAAAATTTTTATATAAACGATATCAAGACCAAGCTAGCCAGGACCAGGGTTGCTGCTAACATGCAGTTAGTTTACGACCTTGCCCCCAGCCCAGAAGACACTGGAAAACGAAGATGAAAAATGTTCATTAGCCACCATAACTGTGGACACCAGTGTCAGTTAATGGGTAGCTATCAGGATAGTCCTCAAGGACAGAAATTGTCCCACCCCAATGCCCGATCGCTCCCTCATTGAGAAGCACTGCAAACCCCACTTTATTCATCAATATTTCTTTCTCCTTTTAGTGTCTTCCTGATTTTGTGACTATCTCAAAAGTATATCAGGAAAACACATTTTCCCCCTTCATACTGTGATTTTTTCCCCCTTTTCGTCTCTACTAGTACCACATCTGGACACCTAGCAAGGCAACATGCTTCATATCCCAGTGGTCTTCAGCTGCAGAAGTCTGGCTCTTGTCACTTCTAGGATTGGACTCTCCAGTCCTGCATAGAGTGTTCTCCTTTTACTCTCAGACCCAAATCCAGAACCAATTCAATTCTTAGCAATCACTCATTGAAATCCAGATTGATCCAGGCAAGAAGTAAGTCTGAGTCAGCTGACACCATTGTCTATGTGTGGACACATACATTTATGCCTATCGAGAAAAACTAAAGCACTTTTTAAATGTTCTTTCCCCCTTAATGTCCAGGAACACACATGCAGTCCTCCCTTGGGTATCCATGGAGCATTGGTTCCAGGAACCCCTTTGGATATCAAAATCTGCAGATCCTCAAAACCCTGATATAAAATAGCAAAATATTTGCATATAACCTACAGCACATACTCCTGTGTACTTTAAATCATCTCTAGGTTACTTGTAATACTTAATACAATGTAAGTACTCTGTAAATAGTTGTTATACTATATATTTTTTTAAATTTCATTTTTATTGGTGTATTGTTATTTTTATTGAGTTTTTCCCAAATATTTTTGATCTGCAGTTGGTTGCATTCATGGATGCAAATGGCCAACTATGATTTTTTTCTTGTTACTCAATATATCATTGTAATGAGCACAAGAATAAAGTATAGAGAAGACAGTACAGTTAAAACATCTTGAATGTGTCTTAATTTTAATTAGAATGGTTTTAGAAAATATGCAGTCCCAGGAAATGCTCCTACCTCTAAAAATAGAAAGGTGGATTATGTTGTTCCAAAAAATTCCAAAAAAATTTGATGTGATGCTACAAATGATCAGCGATTCTCCTCTAATGAAATCAGTATATATTTTAGAACTGCCTGAAAAAGTAGATACAAAATATAACTTAATATGCTATATGAAAATAATGTTCTTGCACAGGAAGCAAAAACAGAAGAGAAAGAACAGAAAAATAAAAAAGGAAAAGAACAAGGCAACTATGACTGGGATGAGTCTGTAAGACCATCACAATCACCATTTTTAAACTTCTCTATTGTGCCTCCAGTATTTGCAATGGCAAAGAAACATGGCGATAGCACTGCTTGTATTGCTCATTGTTTCAACCATACTCGAGTTGCAGAATGAGACAAATACTTCTCAAGATAACATGGTTAGTTTGAATAAACCTGAATCCGATTCCAAAATAATCTCATTTTAGAAATAAGGACAAATTACGACCCCAGCGATTCTACTTCTAGGTATATACCCAAGATAACTGAAAATGTATGACCACTTAAAGATTTGTACATATTTATAATAGTATTATTCCTAAGAGCCACAAGGTAGAAACAACTCAATGTCTGTCAGTTGACAAATGGTTAAATACATGTATATATTCCTACAATGGAATATTATTGCTCCACAAAAAGGAATGAAGTACTTACTGATACACACTACAACCTGAACCTTGAAAACATTATACTCAGTGAAAGAAGCCAGACACAAAAGCCACATATTGTCTGATTTGATTTATACGAAATGTCCGTGATAAGCAAATACATAGAGACCAAAAATAAATTGGCTGTGATTTCCAGAGGCTTGAGTAGATAAAATTCCACATCCAACTTTCCATCTAACATCATTTTCTTTCTGCCTAGAAGACTTTATAACAATTTTATAGTACAGGCCTGCTGATGATAAATTCTTTCAGCTTTTGTATGTTTAAGAAAGTCTTCATTTTACTCTTTTAAAAGATATTTTCACTAAGTATAGAATTCTAAGTCTGTTGTCATTATTTTTGTTCCTCTAAATACAAAGTGACTTTTGTTTCTGGCTGCTTTGAAATTTTTCTCTTTATCATTCGTTCTAAGGAATTTGCTTTTTATGTGCTTTGGCGTAGTCTTCTTTATATTTCTTGGGCCTGCAGTTTATTGAGCTTGTTGAATTTGTAGCATTCATTATCATCAAGTTCAGAAATCTTTCCTCCAGGATTTCTTCAAATTTTTTGTTCCTCCCTCTCTATTCTTTTGGGGACTTTTATATTAGGTCATTTGAAACTGTCCACAGCTCACTGATGCTCAGTTCATGTTTTCTAGTCTTTTTCTCGCTGTGTTTCATTCTAGATAGTTTCTATGGCTACATCTTCAAGTTTTCTCATCCTTTCCTCTGCAGAGTATAATCCAGTCTTATAATCTACTCTGCAGAGTATAACACAGTCACAACCATCTCATTTTACTACTTTTTACTACCGTCTACCAGAGTCATGGCAGAAGGCATAAAAATACTGGTTAAACAGGTTGAGAGACTATTAGCGCATTTGATTTATCTGGTGAAGAAATCCTTTAATTCTCCCACATTTGTGAGCTAATCAGAACAAGTAAAATATAAGGCTTGGTGTATAAAGCTATTTATAAATCAAACCTTTTAGATTTGATTTATAGTTATTTTTAATAGTAAGACACAGTAAAAATTGCTCTCCACCTTCTTTTTTGGCTTAATATGGACCTAATTTACATTGATTCATTGTAAAATTTGGAAAAGGAAAAAATTTAAAAAAATTTTTTTATAATTCTGTAATGACCTACATGTAACCATTTTAAGATTGAAGTAATGTTCTGAGTAAATGGTTCTTTTTACTCAATTGAGATCATACTAAAACTCTGTATTTTATTTCTTTACAAGATCCTCTTCCAGATTTGCTTTAAAATAAAAGTTATTTAAGCCCTTCCACTCTTTTAAAACAGGTAATGAATAGACAATTTCCTTTCAAGTTACATATAAATGTCCACTACATTTTTGACTGGGCCAGTCCACCTTAGATTTAGGTTGTACAGGTTTACAATGCAGGCAGGCACCTCATCAAAAGAAACGCCATTAACATTGTAGAAATTGTAGTTCTGTATATTATGATAATTTTAGGCATATGGCCAAAAAAGCTTTTTCTTAAAAAAATTAATACCTTATGACTATTAAATAGAAGAAAACTGTTTTGAAGAAAGAATCATTTTTCTAATTCACACAAAGGGACAACATGATGGCCCTGCCAACACCCAAAACAAGTGAGAGTGACTTTCCCCGTAAAAATAAGTCAATTTGTCTTATCAGGAGACAATGCTACTGGATCCAGAATCCATCTAACCTTCTGAGTGTTGTAGACATTAAAAAAAAATGTAAATGTGAATTAAGAGTCAACAAAATACCTTCACTAGTTTTGTCTTAAAGAAATAGAAGACTGTCAACTGGGTGAGGTGGCTTATCCCTGAAATCCCAGCACTTTGGGAGGCCAAGGTGGGCGGATCTCTTGAGGTCAGGAGTTTGAGACCAACCTGGCCAACATGGAGAAGCTTCATCTGTACTAAAAATAGAAAAATTAGCCAGGTATAATGGTACATGCTTATAATCCCAGCTACTCAGGAGGCTGAGGCAGGAGAATTGCTTGAACCCAGGGGGCAGAGGTTGCCATAAGCCAAGGTTACGCCATTGCACTCCACCCTGGGTGATATAGCAAATCTCCATCTAAAAAAAAAAAAAAAAAAAAAAGAAGCCTTTCTACTGTACTCCTTAAAAAAAAAATGAACATTGGAACTGCAATAAATAACATTTATAGTTTATTATAACCATTTATAGTCAAGAGAGTGTGGGAAGAGAACGAGGTAATAAAACAAGAGGTATTACAAATGGTTGAAAAAAAAAGACAGAGAAGGAGAGAGAAATAAAATTGTACTCAGCGGTGCAAAGAGAAAAAAGAGAACAGGATCAGAATCTCTGAGAAATATACCAACCATGTAACAATTTAGAACAGAACCACCAAAAGTGCCTAAAACCCTGTGTTTTCCCACTTGTATGAAAATAAGAATATCACATGCTGGAAAGGTGGGAGGTTTCTCACTCCAATCATAAGGTAATATATTTTCACTAAATACAACTGATACTTTAAAATTGGTTAGGAAAATATTACTGTGTCAAAACAGAAACCAAAGCATCTAGCCATTCATGTTGGTATTGCTGTGTTAATAAAACCTGACCATTTGACCCAGCCATCCCATTACTGGGTATATTCCCAAAGGAATATAAATCATTCTACTATAAAGACACACGAACATGCATGTTTATTGCAGCACTATTTACAATAGCGAAGACATGGAACCAACCCAAATGCCCATCCACGATAGACTAGATTAAAAAAAAAATGTGGTACATATACACCATGGAATACTATGCAGCCATAAAAAGAAATGAGATCATGTCCTTTGCAGGGATATGGCTGAAGCTTGAAGCCATCATCCTCAGAAAACTAACACAGGAATAGAAAACCAAACACCACATGTTCTCACTCATAAGTGAGAACAACGAGAACACATGGGCACCGGGGCCTGTTAGGGGGTGGGAGTGAGGGGAGGGAGCTTAGGGTACAAGTCAATAGGTGCAGCAAACCACCATGGCACACATATACCTGTGTAACAAACCTGCACCTTCTGTATATGTATCCTGTTTTGGGTGTTTTTTTTTTTTTGGAAGAAATAAAGAAAAAACCTGACAATAGGGAGATATTTCAGAGTGAAATCATCTTCCACCTTACCAAATAATATGGGAAATAGTGCAGGACTCCAAACCTTCTTGGGAATAAGCTTTTATTGAGTAATAACATATTTGAGTGCCAGAGTATATCCTCACCCTTTTTCTTGAAGATACACTATAACCCCCTCCACCACTTGCCAAAGCTTAGAACTCCAAATGGAGGCAGTTCTAACAAGAGGTAGCAGGGCCTTGGAAAAGTCTCATTAGGGATCTTAATGTTTCCCCTGATTGGTAAACAAACTCACCAACTTAGAATATCTACATTGTGGACCGATCCAAGATGGCCGATTGCTAACATCTCAGGACTGCAGCTCTCAGTGAAGGTGCGGAGAACTAGAGGACGCCACACTTTCAGACAAATTCTGGTCGCTCACAGAGCAGAAGATCCCCAGTGGAGGAATCACATGGGTCGCCAGAGCGACTTTCGTGGCCGTCGCAGCGGTTCCTCTGGCGCCTCAGCGTGGCAGTTCTCAACAGGTTCGGAGGACCCACAAGGGCCCCCAGCACAACACCAGAGCCCAGCGCAGCGGCTGTGATGGCACCATGGCGCTGCAATGCTCGGCGCAGAGGCACAGAGTAAACGGGACCGGCTCCCCTTCTGACTGAGGTTTGGAGCCCCGGGAAGGCAGAGTCGCCCACTACGGACACAAGAAGGAAGCCAGACAAGAGAATCCTGGGCAGAAAAGCACCATCAGTTTTAAAATCACCATCAGAGCTGCTGCTCTGGCCCTGGGAACTAACAACCTGGACACCCACTCAAGAGACCTAATCTGAAAGTTGGTAATTTCAAAGACCACAGGAGGATAAATTTACAATGATGGGAAGAAACCAGCGTAAAAAAGCTGAGAATACTCAAAGTCAGAACGCCTCTCCCTCTAAAGATGATCACAGTTCCACATCAACAATGGAACAAGGCTTGATGGAGAAGGAGCGCATCCCAATGACAGAATCACTCTTCAAGGAATGGATAATAACAAACTTCGGTGAGTTAAAAGAACATGTTGTAGCCCAACGTAAAGAAACTAGGAACTTTGAAAAAAGGTTTGATGAAATCCTATTGAGAATAGACAACTTAGAGAGGAGTATGAGTGAAATAATGGAACTGAAGAATACAATACAGGAACTCCGAGAAGTTTGCACAGGTTTAAACACTCGAATTGTTCAAGCAGAAGAAGGGATATCAGAGGTCAAAGTCCAACTTAGTGAAATAAAACGTGAAGAAAAGATTAGAGAAAAAAGGATAAAAAGGAATGAGCAAAGTCTCCAAGAAATGTGGGACTATGTGAAAAGACCAAATCTACGTTTGATAGGTGTACCTGAATGCGACGGAGAGAATGAATCCAAGATGGAAAATACTCTTCAGGAAAATTTTTCTAAACTAGCAAAGCAGGTCAACATTCAACCCCAGGTAATACAGAGAACACCACAAAGATATTCCTCAAGAAGAGCAACCCCAAGGCACATATCGTTAAGATTCACTAGGGCTGAAACAAAGGAGAAAATACTAAGGGCAGCCAGAGAGAAAGGTCAGGTTACCCACAAAGGCAAGCCTATCAGACTTACAGCAGATCTCTCAGCAGAAACTCTACAAGCCAGATGAGAGTGGGGGCCAATATTCAACATCCTCAAAGAACAGAACCTTCAGCCCAGAATTTCGTATCCAGCCAAACTAAGCTTCACAACTGAAGGAAAAATAAAATCTTTTATGAACAAGCAAGAACTCAGAGATTTTATTACTACTTGTAAAGCTTCTGAAAGAAGCATTACACACAGAAAGAAACAACCAGTATCAGCTCTTCTAAAAATATACCAAAAAGTAAAGAGCACCAACATAAAGAAGAATTTACACCAACAAATGGATAAAACAGCCAGTTAACATCAAAGGGCAGTAACCCTAAATTTAAATCGACTAAATCCCCCAATCAAAAGACACAGCCAAAACCCAACGGCATGTTACATCCAGACCTGTTTCACAGGCAAGGATACACAAAGACTCAAAACAAAGGGATGGAGAAAGATTTACCAACCAAATGGAGAGCAAAAATAAATAAATAAATAAAAAGCAGGCGTTGCAATTCTCGTATCTGGTAAAATAGATCTTAAAGCAACAAAGATATAGTGGTAAAAGGATCAATGCAACAACAAGAGCTAACGATCCTAACACCCAGATACATAGAGACTTAGACACAATGAGACAGAAAATTAATAAGGATATCAAGGACTTGAACTCAGATCCGGAACAAGTAAACTTAATAAATATTTATAGAGCTCTCCACTTCAAATACACAAAATAAACATTCTAGACAATACCACATCACACCTACTCATAGGTTTAAATGAAACATTGATTGTCCATTATTAATACCCATTTTTTTTTAAGAATAAAGCAATATTTCCACCCACTCTCCCTCTTTCTCTTCCTCTTTCTTCGTCTCCTTTACTCATTTTTTTCTTCTTTCCTTCACTCAAAAAAAAAAAGAAATCAACTTGTAAACCTCTAGATCCAGGTTGGCAATGTCTCTCTCATTGCTTGAATTCCTTCCTTCCCTTCCCTCTCTCCCTCCCTCCCTCCCCCCTTCCTCCCTTGCTTCATCCCTCCCCCCCCCCAAAAAAAAAGAATATCTACCTTGTGGCTAAGAATTCACTGGAACAGAACAAGAATGCCAATTTTTATCACCTTCTAGAAAGGTTACATTCTCTTTGAAAAAAAACTGAAAATCTTCCTTGGAGATTATAATTGACGCTATGTATCTCATCTCCTCAGTGGTTGTCTTATTTCCACTGTCTCCTTCAATCATTGCTCTACCCCCCAAGGTTAAAAGCAAAAGCACAGATTCTTATTCTTCTGAGTGCACAATTCATGCAAGAACAATATAACCAAAAGAAAATGATGTACCCTTATATTAAGATGAGAGAGAGAAATAAATGTAACATACCAATAGTTTTCAGCGAATTCACAGAATGAAGAGGATAGGAAATGCCAAGGGCGATGCTAAAGAATAGGCAAGATTGCAAATCCCACGACTCTTTATTGAATTTTATAACCACATATCCAATTATGATGCACGCTGCAGAAAAGCTGATTAATCCAGTTAACAAGACCTGCGAACCAATTCATAACACAGTATTAGACTTAACATCGAATGGTGACATGATGGCATTTACTTACATCCTAAGAGTCAGATCTTGGTTATAAATGTTATACAATTACCCTGGAAGATAATTTTAAAAGGTATTCTAGTTTAACCACCTGCCACAAAGAAACTGTCCCTTTCAAATAAACAAGATTCTACCTTATTATTAACTGACTCAACTGTCTCTCTCTTGTTGTTACTCTAGTTTAATAGTTCTGGATATTGAAAGCTTCTTAAAACACAATGCAAATTTCTCCTGCTTCTATATAGAATGTTCCCTGATTAGTTTGGAAAATAAATTGTTACTGACATATTGTGTCTAGCACATGATGCAAATTTATATACCAAGACTCTAAAATATTCACAGAAGAACCCCCCTTTACCTTTTATTAGTCGTAAAACAAGTAGTTCTGCAATAGAGAAAGGGGAGGCCATGAAATGCTTGAGATTAAGTGATTAACAGAGTTTTATAATTTCTATACATACATTGTTTATGCCTAAGAAAATATTTATTTTTCAAAATTATCTTCAGGAAAAAAATAGTTGTGTTATTCAATCCTTTTCATATTTTCCATCTGTCTTTTGTTTTACTTTCTGTGAAGTTTCCACAATTTACCCATTAGGTCCTTTTATTTCTTTACCTATTGTGATGTCATATGGTTTTTCTTCCTAAATCTCTTAAGAGCATGAATTACATTAAGCAATTTTTTAAATGTTAAATTAACCCTGTTCTGAAATAAACATGACTTGATCATGTTTTTATTATTTTTATGTTACTGGATATATTTGTGCCAAAATTTTGTGTAGAATTGTTCTGTATTTGTGGGCGAAACTGGCTTATGATTTTTCTTTCTCTTAATATTCCTGTATAGTTTTGGTGTTAAGGTTAAACAAGCCTTATAAAATAATTAAGGGAGGAGGCCAGGCACAGTGGCTCATGCCGATAATCCCAGCACTTTGGGAGGCAAGGCAGGAGGATCTCTTGAGTTCAGTAGTTTGAGACCAGCCTGGGAAACATAGTGACACTCCACCTGCACAAAAAAAATCTTAAAAATTAGCTGGGCATGGTCGTGCACACCTGTAGTAACAGCTACTCAGGAAACTGAGGTGGGAGGATTACTCTGTCACCCAGGTTGGAGTACAGTGATGATATCATGGTTCATTGCAACCTCAAACTCCTGCACTTAAGCAATCAGATTTAGTAAGCCTAAGAAGTCTTGGTATGCATAAATAAAAAGATACTAACACCCAGAAACATCACAGTGAAACAAAAACCTTCCTCCTTTATCTGCATGGGATAGGCTCCAAGACCCCAGTGGATGCCTAAAACCACAGATAGTACCAACCCTATATATATTATAGTTTTTTAAAATACATATATATCTATGATAAAGTTTAATTTATAAATTAGGCACAGTAAAAGATTAACAATAACTAATAATAAAATAGAACAAGTGTAACAGTATGACAGCATCGCTACTCTTACACTTTAGGGCTATTATAAAGTAAAATAAGGGTTATTTAAACGTGCACTGAGATACCCCATGGTCTATCTGATAACCGAGTTGGCTACTAAGTGACTAATGAACAGGAGGTATATAGAGTGGACATGCAGGTCAAAAGGATGAGTCACGTCCTGGGCAGGACAGAGTAAAATGACACAAGATTTTATCACACTATTCAGAAAGGCACACAATTTAAAATGCATGAATTTCTCTGGAATTTTTCATTTAATATTTCCTTTTTTAAAAAAGTGTTTATTTTAGGTTCAGAGGTACATGTGTAGGTTTGTTATATAGGTAAACTTGTGTCATGGGGGTTTGCTGTACAGATTATTTCATCACTCAGGTACTGAGCCTAGTACACAAAAGTTATTTTTTCCATCCTGAACCCTCAAGTAAGCCCCAGTATCTGTTGTTCCCCTTTTTGTGTCCGTGAGTTCTCACTACTTAGCTCTCATTTATAAGTGAGAAAATGTTCCTGTATTAGTTTGGTAAGGATAATAGCCGTCAGCTCCGTCCATGTTCCTGCAAAAGACATGATCTCATTCTTTTTTATGGCTGCATAGTATTTGGTGGCAAATATGTACCACATTTTCTTTATCCAATCTGGCATTGGTGGGCATTTAAGTCGATTCCATATCTTTGCTATTGTGACTAGTGCTACAATAAACATTCACGTGCATGTGTCTTTATGACAGAATGATTTATACTCCTTTGGGTATATACTCAGTAATGGGATTGCTAGGTTGAATGGTAGTTCTATTTTTAGCCACACTACTTTCCACAATGGTTGAACTAATTTACACTCCCACCAAGAGTGTATAAGTATTAACTTTTCTCTAGAACCTTGACGCATCTGTTATTTTTTTACTTTTTATTAATAGCCATTCTGACTGGTGTGAGATAGCATCTCATTGTGGTTTTGATTTGCATATCTCTATTATTGGTGATGTTGAGCTTTTTTTCATATGCTCCTTGGCTGCATGTATCTCTTCTTTTGAAAAGTGTCTGTTCATATTCTTTGCCCACTTTTTAATGGAGTTGTTTTTTCTTGTAAATTTGTTAAATTCCTTGTTGATGCTGGATATTAGACCTTTGTCACATGCATAATTTGTAAATATTTTATCCCATTCTATAAGTTGTTACTCTGTTGATACTTTCTTTTGCTGTGCAGAAGCTCTTAAGTTTAATTAAATCTCATTTGTTAATTTTTGCTTTTGTTGCAATTGCTTTCGGCATCTTTCATTATGAAATCTTTGCTTATTCCTGTGTCCAGAATGATATTTCCTAGCTTATCTTCCATGGTTTTTTTAGTTTTATGTTTAAATCTTTAATCCATCTTGAGTTGATTTTTTTGTATATGATGTAAGAAAGGGGTCCAATTTCAATCTTCTGCATATGGCTAGCCAGCTATCCAAGCATGATTCATTGACTAGGGAGTCCTTTACTCATTGTTTGTTTTTGTCAGCTTTGTTGAAGATTAAATGGTTTTAGGTGTGCAGCCTTATTTCTGGATTCTGAATTCTGTTTCATTGGTCTATGTGTCTGTTTTTGTACCATGCTGTTTTGGTTACTGTAGCCCTGTAATACAGTTTGAAGTTGGGTAATGTGATGCCTCCAGCTTTGTTCTTTCTTCTTAGGATTGCCTTGGCTATTTGGGCTCTTTTTTGATTCCATATAAATTTTAAAATACTTTTTTGTAGTTCCGTGAAGAACATCAGCATTAGTTTGATAGAAATAGCATTCAATCTGTAAATTGCTTTGGGCAGTTTGGCTATTTTAATGATACTGATTCTTTCTTTTTTTTTTTTTTTTTAACTGAGCTTGGGGGACTTTATTGATGGTACACGACAAGGTGGGGCTCCCTAGGCCCCTCCCTCTTCAAGGGGCCTGCATGGAAACTGTGAGGAGGGGCAATTTGGTGTGGTGAGAGACTCTGTGGCAGGGACTCCCCAGCAGTGAGGGCCTCTCTTCCTCTCATGCTCTCACTGGGGCTGGTGGTCCAGGGGTCTTACTCCTTGGAGGCCACGTGGGACATGAGGTCCACCACCCTGTTGCTATAGCCAAATTCATTGTCATACCAGGAAATGAGCTTGACGAAGTGGTTGTTGAGGGCAATGCCAGCCCCAGCATCGAAGGTGGAAGAATGGGTGTCGCTGTTGAAGTCAGAGGACACCACCTGGTGCTCAGTGTAGCCCAGGATGCCCTTGAGGGGGCCCTCCGATGCCTGCTTCACCACCTTCTTGATGTCATCATATTTGGCAGGTTTTTCCAGGCGGCAGGTCAGGTCCACCACTGACACGTTGGCAGTGGGGACATGGAAGGCCATGCCAGTGAGCTTCCATTCAGCTCAGGGATGACCTTGCCCACGGCCTTGGCAGCGCCAGTAGAGGCAGGGATGATGTTCTGGAGAGCCCCACAGCCATCACGCCACAGTTTCCCAGAGAGGCCATCCATGGTCTTCTGGGTGGCAGTGATGGCATGGACGGTGGTCATGAGTCCTTCCACAATACCAAAGTTGTCATGGATGACCTTGGCCAGGGGCGCTAAGCAGTTGGTGATGCAGGAGGCATTGCTGACGACCTTGAGGCTGTTGTCATACTTCTCATGGTTCACGCCCATCACGAACATGGGGGCGTCAGCAGAGGGGGCAGATATGATGACCCTTTTGGCTCCCCCCGCAAGTGAGCCCCAGCCTTCTCCATGGTGGTGAAGACGCCAGGGGACTCCACCACATACTCAGCGCCAGCATCGCCCCACTTGATTTTGGAGGGATCTCGCTCCTGGAAGATGGTGATGGGATTTCCATTGATGGGCTTCCCATTCTCAGCCTTGACAGTGCCGTGGAATTTGCCATGAGTGGAATCATACTGGAACATGTAGACCATGTAGTTGAGGTCAATGAAGGGATCATTGTTGGCAACGATATCCACTTTACCAGAGTTAAAAGCGGCCCTGGTGACCAGGCGCCCAATACGACCAAATCTGTTGACTCTGACCGTACCTTCCCCATGATGTCTCAGGGATGTGGCTGGCGACGGGAGACAAGATGCTGCTGTCTGTTGAACAGGAGGAGCAGAGGGCCGATACTGATTCTTTCTATATATGAGCATGGAATGTTTTTCCATTTGTTTGTGTCTTCTCTGATTACTTTTAGCAGTGTTTTGTACTTCTCATTGTGGAGGTCTTTCACCTCCCTGGTAAGCTGTATTCTAGATATTTCAGTCTTTTTTTTTTTTTTTTTGAGACGGAGTTTCGCTCGTTACCCAGGCTGGAGTGCAATGGAGCGATCTCAGCTCACCACAACCTCCGCCTCCTGGGTTCAGGCAATTCTCCTGCCTCAGCCTCCCGAGTAGCTGGGATTACAGGCACGCGCCACCATGCCCAGCTAATTTTTTGTATTTTTAGTAGAGACGGAGTTTCACCATGTTGACCAGGATGGTCTCGATCTCTCGACCTCGTGATCCACCCATCTTGGCCTCCCAAAGTGCTGGGATTACAGGCGATATTTCAGTCTTTTCATGTCAATTGTGAATGAGATTGCATTCTTAATTTGGCCCTCAGCTTGGCTGTTTTTGGTGTATAGTAATGCTAATGATTTTGTATGTTGATTTCATATCCTGTGGTTTTGCTGAAGTTATTTATCACCTGAAGGAGATTTGGGGCTGAGATTATGGGGTTTTCTAGATATAGAATAATGTTGTCTGCAAAGAGAGATAGTTTGACTTTCTTCCTATTTGGATGCCTCATCTACAAAGGGAAACCCCATCAGACTAACAGTGGACCTCTCAGCAGAAACCCTACAAGACAGTAGAAATCAGGAGCCTATATTTAACATTCTTAAAGAAAAAAATCCTCAAACAAGAATTTCCTATCCAGCCAAACTAAACTTCCTTAGCAAAGGAAAAATAAGATCCTTTTCAGATAACCAAATGCTGAGGGAGTTCATTACCACCAGATCCACCTTACAATAGATCTTGAATGGAGCACTAAATATGGAAAGGAAAGACTAACACCAGCAAATACAAAACACATGTAAGTACACAAATCAGTGACACTATAAAGCAACCTCATAAACAAGTCAGCATAATAAATAGATAACACAATGACAGGATCCAATCAACACATATCAATAATAACCTTGGCCAGGCACAGTGGCCCATGCCTGTAATCTCAGCACTTCTGGAGACTGAGGCAAGTGGATCACAAGGTCAGGAGTTTGAGACCAGCCTAGCCAATGTGGTGAAACCCTGTCTCTACTAAAAATACAAAAAATTAGCCAGGCATGATGGTGTGCCCCTGTAATCCCTGCCACTCAGGAGGCTGAGGCAGGAGAATCGCTTGAACCAAGGAGGCAGAAGTTGCAGTGAGCCAAGATCATGCCATTGCACTCCAGCCTGGGCAGTAGAGTGAGACTCTGTCTCAAAAAGTAATAATAATAATTATTATTATAACCTTGAATTTAAATGGGCTAAATGCCCTATTTAAAAGGCACAGAGTAGCAAGTTAGATAAAAAGCAAGACCCAAAGGTATGTTGTCTTCAAGAAACCTGTCTCACATGGAATGACACCCACAGGCTCAAAATAAAGGAATGGAGGAAAATCTACCAAGTAAATGGAAATCAGAAAAATGCAGGGGTTGCTACCCTAATTTCAGACAAAACAGACTTTAATCCAACAAAGATCAAAAAAGAAAAAGAAGGGCATTACATAATGGATGGTAAAGGGTTCAATTAAACAAGAAGAGCTAACTATCCGAAATGCACTCAACACAGGAGCACTCAGATTCATA